TATATGATTACACTCTTTGTATTTAGGAGAGACAAATACTCAGTCAGTTAGGACCGTCTTAATAGCATGCAGGGGGGGCACAGAAATGTTTTGACTCCATGTCATACTGTTTAAAATTGAAGGAAAAAACATCACATACATAATATAAAGCATTTTTTAGATATGCAATAATTTTAACAAATTTAAACTAAGCATAATTTTTTTAGAAATTGAGATTCTAATCAGTTGTAATCCTCAAATAAAAAATAAAAAAATTCAAAACTATGTAAGCTAATAAAATAATAAAATTTAAAAAAAAAAGCAACTTTATAACAAATACAAAAAATTTAAAAGGTAGGAATTATTTTGTCAAGCCAAACAGTTATTAAAACTTCTTTCAATGCACATCAAACATAACCAATTTTAAAGTTGCTGTGCCAAGCATGTTTAGAGACATCATTACTTAACGTCAAACTTTCTCACATTAATTTATTCTACGTAGATATTTTTTCAGGAACTCAATGATTTCTAAACATTTTCAAATTACATATTTATGTTTATTTAAAAGGTTCCAAATTCACTTCAGTAATTAAACTCGAAATTGTGTGAAAATTTAATTTTTCTAAATTAGAAAGAAATACTGATATAAAAGATATAAAAATTGTTTTAAAAAAAATAAATTTTTTTCATTGTTTGGTTTATACTAGCCAGCTCAACTCTGCATTAAAATAAAGTGCGAAGTCCTATATCTAGAATCGATAGTACTTTTGCAAGTCTAAAAACAGATTTTTGGGATAATAAGCCTTTAAGGTAAACATCAAAACATCCTTATTTAATAAAAAATACCAAATAGAAAATAATTAACATCAATTTCAAACAACAATGTATAAATCCACCTGGTTTGTCAGTTGCTATGTTGGCAGCTTTCATTGCAGATTTCCACATGGTTTTTAAAATCTCAACATTTTAATATACCGCAAATTTCGAATCTTGCATTTTAATTAATAGTCATTTCTCGATTAGCGACAATTTCACAGTTGATCAGCTTGCCTTTGTCACCAGTTTTTTCTTGTAGTTAATAAAATGGATTTTCACCTGGTTTTTGAATTCTCAATGTTTAAATTTGATATTATTCAAATTGCATTTTGAATCGTGCACTTTACTCTTAATTATGGACAACCCATGCAGATACGATGGGACACTTGCAATCCAATGTGGATTTACGATTGCATTTTTGTCAGCTGTTCTGAGTTTTTTAATGCTACATTATTATACACGAGAAATTCGAAATCGCGCATTTGAAGAATTACTTTTTGATGCACTGAATTTATGGCGTTTTATTATCAACGTGGTTTTGTCGATCCCATTTTCAATAGCTTGGAATTTTCACATTGTTTTTAAAATTTTAGATTTCTTTTTTAATATAATACTATTACAATCCGTGAATTCCTTATCGCGCTTTCAAATATGACTTTATTCTCGGTTTAGTCGGCAATATTTTCAAAATGAAACTGTTTTGCGCACTCTGAGATATGAGGGGAAAAAAATTTCGCTCTGTAATGAAATACCGGATTTTGTTTCCTCGATATTCAATTGTATTTTCATATTATAGCGGAAATCAGATTCCAGTAAAGTTTATAAAGAAAAAGAAATTAGCGGAAAAATAGAGGATTCTCATACCTGCATGCTTTTGTTAACAAATCGCAGGTGTAAGAAAGCTTGTTTTTTTTTTTACAAAAGAAAAATAATTTTTTTCATTTTGATTGTTAAAGCGTCCGGAAGAGAGATCGGGATATGGGACTTAGTACTGTATTTGGAGAATAATTTTTTTGCTTATTACTTATCTGATTTCTTAGTACTGTACTTACATATAATACTTATTGTATGACACTGACATTAAAATGGCAACACTATGGGATATCAAAAAAATTTTCTTCAACAAAAAAAGGCACTTTTCTTTCTCTCTTTTTAATTTTAATATAACTTAAAGTGTTTGTCATTAAGCATTCTGGTTTATAATGCTTTCTTATTTTTATGATAATTGAGTATTAACAAAACATTTGTGCATTATCACCATTTAGAACCGAAACAAAAGAAATTCTTTATTCGAATTGACCGAATCCAAATTAATCTGAACCTCTCAAAATGACAGTGAGATCCAAGAATTCTAACTTGTATTTTTGAATTAATGATTTGAAAATAAATTAAGTTTGATCATGATGACTGCCGAGATGCTCTTTGATCAGATATTATGATCCAGTTTCCAATTACGCTTTTTCAAATTCCTTTGATTGTCATGAGCATAAAATAATTAAAAGAAATTTTTTACATGTAACTTATTTATTTATTTCTTATTTATGGTATTTTTAATCTGTTTTATGAAGATTATATACTTACAGCTTTTATTATATTATAAAATAATCATGCAATATTATGTTTAAATATATTTTATGATAAAGATTTTTTTAAAAAGTTATATTTACATTCAATAAAATTTTCAGTGAAACTTTTCACTCAACGTATGCAGTTTGAATTATAAACACGTAATCACTATTTAAAATTCTAAGGCAGTATTAAACTTATCTTTTCACACTAATGCTAAAATTAACCACTAACGTTCTTAGCTGAAAACATTTAACAGGTTTTTGTAGTAAGCCAATAATTTAATAAGAAGTTTTTATGGAATTCATAAAAACAATTTTATGGATGAGGATACGATGGTAACCCTTCAAAATAATTAAATCTAAATTTTATCCTTATAGAATTGAAAACAAAACCTGTTTTACCAATTCTATATTAACATTTTGTTGAAAGGCAGCTTTACACAGAAATTATGTGATGTCACTATTTTATAATGGAATATGAAATGTGTACACAATTCAAATAAACTCCAATAAAATTTACTTATACTGAATGAAATGAAATTAAATTTTGGAATATTCAATGTAACCAAAAATGACAAATTAACTTGTTACCAGTCAACAATTTGGTAATGCAATAAAATATCTTGAATCCTTTCTATTAATAATTTTTAATTTAAATGTAACAATCTGAGGAAATAAAAATGTTTGTGAAGATCTCAAAAAGTTTTATTCTTTTCTAAACCTAAAATGTTTTTAAATACTAATTTAAGAAAATTATTTGTAAGATACAATTTAAAAATAAATAAATAAAAAAACTATAACTTCTCTTGCTGCTGGTCTAGTTTTAAAAGATATGCCTTGCAGATCAGTGACATCCCCCTTTTTTTTAATTTGCTCCTTTTCTATTTAAACGTTCATCCATTGAATTTAAATGGGTGACTTTGCCCAAAGAGAGAGGTGTATCTTCAAAAAGCAATGTTTTGGAGACACACTTCTTACTTTATTATTCTTCATATAAATAGCCTCTTGGACTAATATAATTTATGGCTGTGTTCCTTTGATTACTTGGCAAAGGGGGTCCCTAAGACTTCCTGATGTTTTTGAAAGCAAACACAATCGAAGTAAGAAAGGTTGGGACATGGCTCATACACTCCTGGAAAAGTAGTTATGTTAATATAAACTGTACCAGTTTTTAATTTTTTCCATGCTCATATGAACACTGCAGGCGCAAATTGAGACTTGAGTACCTAAAAACTTCATTGAAATGTCGAAAAATAGATATTGGTTGCCTTATTAAATTTTCCTAGTGATTAACTATTCAAATTATCAATGTTTACGTGATAATCAATCACTATTTGTAGGGAAAAAACAAAATGCGCTCTTTTTACAAACACCAGCTCATTTTTGGAGGTCTGAGCGGAAGACTTTTAATTAGGAGCAAACATCGATTGGATTTGTTAAGCTAAAATCTGGATAGGCTTGGCCAGATAAAGGAGGACTTGATTAGATGGACTTTTCTATAATTATTCCCTAGATTCATAGATATACATTCGTAAACATTTGTCTCTCAGACAAACATATTAATTGATGATTTTTGTTTTATGTACTTAAGAAGCAATAAACACATTTTATATCTGAAAAAATTTTTATGAATCATAAATTTTCTGAAATAAAATTACACCTCATATTAAACTGCCATGATCCATGTACGCAATTTTTTTTTACATTTGGAGCAACAGTATTTCAATGCATACATTGTAAGTGCAGCATTGTAGTTCAATGCATTTCAATTAATTTTTTGAGGCGTAATTTTTTCTGAGATCCACAGCAAAAAAGTTTTAGCAAGATCTTCTGCAGTTGGCCTTTTTAGGCATCATATCAAACTTCACATTTTTCAGCACTGGCACGATCATACGTTAGGCAGCTTCCCTAATATATATATATATATATATATTTAAACAAATAATTGACAAGACGTTGGTTTTTTATTGTTACTATTTGCGTTATGCACATAAATAATGTAAGAATTGATTATAGCCATGTCTGCTAGAATTGATTTTAGCCATGAATGTTAATGAATCTAGGGCTAACATTATCCAACATTTTGACGTATTTATTAAGCAAAAGTTTAAATTAAGTACAATTAAAAATCGGTTTTTTATTATTTGATTATTGTTAAGATTAGTTTTTGTAGTTCATTTTACTGAAAGTAAAATTTTTTTTAGTCATTTATACTTGTTTTATATTTTTATTCCTATTTTATGTAGTTAAATCATCAGATTTACTTTTGTTTCTTAATTTATCACCATTTTATATTATTTAAATGACTGGTCCTGTTTCTTTTTCTCATCAGTCTCACCCATTATTTTTTATTATTTACTATTGTTATTAGAATTATTTTTATCTTGATTACGTATTGTTTATGTCATTAGTCTTAGTGGGTTTTTTTTTAATTTCTACTCTATGTTATCTTATTTGAGTCTCCAGTCTTATTTTTTTTCTTTATTTTTCATTATTTATATTCTATGAAGTTAATAAAATCCGTTGTGGATTCACTCATAAAGCGGTTGGTATTAAATACTGGGTTAAAAGCATCCTTTCTTTGCGTTGTTGGTGTCTTTAAAAAATAGCACATTTGCTTTCCCAATTCTAATTCAGGTGCCAGCTATATCACTTGCTTACGAAACTGCCGAAAGCGACATCATGAAGCGTCAACCTCGAGATCCTCAAAAAGACAAATTGGTGAATGAACGGTAAGTCTGTGGGTCATTAGGTTTTCTGGATTGGGTCTTCTCTAAAACTGGATCTTCTTTGCATTATGTAATAGTAATGTACAATAATAATTATGTATACTTTACTTTATGTAATTTGCTTAGCTCATGTCTTCTTTAATTAAATATATTTTGCAAAATGCAGTCATAAACATTTTGGATTAAATTGGCTGTCTATACAGGTAGGGTGTTTTGAAATGACCGTACTTAATATATATTTCTAGAAACTTCTTTAAGAATGAAGATAGATGGCCACCACATTTTAATATTTAAGTGTAAAAATAGAAAAAATGCTATCAAAATACGGCAAATCACTCAAATGTAAATGTGCATAAAACATTAAAATCTGCTTGATTGTGTGAAGAAACTCAATGGAGTTGAAAGACGATTATAAGAAAGTCCTTGAAATTTAAACCGGTAATCAAACAGGTTTTGATGTATGTTCACTGTTTGTTTGTTTTTTGTAAATTTTCAGATTTTTCTGTTTTAATTTTCTAAAGCAGCAACTGTGATTGTAAAATAACTTTCTTTTTTTTTTAAATTACCTAGATAATTTTTTTTTTATAGTTTTCTCTGTGGGTCAGTTTAAAATGTTTTAGAATTATTATCGAATTTAAATTATCAATCAGCTCTAAGCATTTACTAAAAATACAGAAAGTGGTAATCCCTTTGAGGAAAAATAAATGTGTTATTTCAAAATTATAATGTGATTATTGTTTGCTTAATATCCCATGTAATGAAATAGCAATTTGCTTAGAGCTTCCCATTATTGCCAATGTTGAAGTATGATTAATATAATGCAGGTTAATATCAATGTCGTATGGCCAGATTGGGATGATGCAGGCAGCTGCTGGTTTTTTCACTTATTTTGTGATAATGAGTGAGAATGGTTTTTGGCCTGGAAGGCTGTTGGGACTGAGAAGAGAGTGGGACTCTGCAGCTGTCAATGACTTAACTGACTCTTACAATCAAGAATGGGTAAGTGTTAACTTCTTGCGTATCCATATTTATACATTAAAGTGCCTCGTTTTTAAACTTTTTTTATCTAATACCAGACTAAAGTTGCCAATCTGCATGGATATTACAGATATACGTTTTCTTTTTTTTTTTTCAAATCAAATATTATCTTCTGTGAGGAGTAAAAACACCAAAATTGCCAGTATTTTTAATTGGATTAAAACGATCATAGTTTTAGGTTAAAAATCCCACTTTTGCTGCAAACATACTTTTAATCCTCTAGATGCAAGTTAAATATCCTTTAAGGGATTTACAATGCATCCCCTGAAAGTTGAAATGGAACGTAAATGCAGTGCAAGTCTTAACTATATTGGATACTGATGCTATCCAAGCGATTCAGAACTTCACATATAAGTGGTTGCACCTACGGATCCTCAACTATTTCTACTGAACAAACCAACTATATGTTAAACCAGCTTAACTGATCTAAATAGTAGTGCTTGGGCTCCATTTGTTACAAATTGTGATTCTGATTAATATCTTGGTAGAACTAGCAGAGAAAGCAAAGTTGTTTTCATGATACTACTGTCACAGCTGCATATTCAAAAACTGCTTTTAAAACCAAAGTTACTGTCACCTATACTTTGGCCATGTGGCAGGAGCCCTTTCTACCTACAGGTATTCAATTCTGATTCTCACAGTACTGTTGAAAAATAAAAGTGCGAATGATTTTCTAGGTGGTTGAAATACGCATTTGTTTGAATGGACTATGGGGTGTTATTTTCTTTCTAATTAATTAGTCGTCATGAGACCATCAGCATTGGGCTGAATGTCTTTATGCTTGTTGAGAGAAATAACTATATCTGCTTTTGAAAGGCTTCAAGGAGTGTCATTTAAACCAATAAAATGTAAGTTACTTTAATGCTAATAATTAACTGATTGAACAAAGCTCTCTGGTTAACCAGTGCACAGAATTTTTAGATAGTGCAGGCCACTAATAATCTAGAAAGCAACTTCCTAAAAGCAGGACATTCATTGCAATTTTTAAAATGATACAATACAGGATCAAGGCACTGTACACTGTAGTGATTGGTTCAGTTCTTGTGTGAGATCACTCGTATTGGTCTAAATATTTACTTGGGTATCATCAGGCCTCCAAGTTGTAGCAACACTACACATTTCAACTTTCAGAAAAGACTTCTGTGTTCCCTTAAGGATATTTAACTTTTATGTTGGGGATAATAATAAAAAAATTAAGACAATTTTGGCATTTCCAGGCAATATTTCCCACAGAAAACGTTATTTAATTTGGAAAAAAAAATTTATCTGTTATGTCTTTGTGGATTCGCCACTCTTTGTTTGTTATTACATTTTGCTTTGAAAGAAGTTTAAAAACGTAGATACGTTTTTTTTATAGCTCCTAGATTTCGCTGATTTCACCTGCTCTTTGTTTATTTTAAAAGCATGCAAGAAAAACTCCCCCAAAACATATTTTTCTCTCAGTTGATTTCATAATTACAACCATTCTGATGGTGAATTTTTAATTCATAGTTAAGGATATTTGTTGTTGAATTTCTGTAATATCTGTTATACAGTGTCATTGTTAATTAAAAGTACAGTAAGTGGAAAGTTCCTATTGGAAAAAGGATGTGTTGTACGCTTAAGAACATATTACTTTTTTTATGAAATTTTTATTCATAGTTAAGGGAAATCTCTACTAAATCTTGCTGATATTTGATATTCCACCTAAAATTCAGATCAAATATCATATCTGCTCTATGATAAAGCAGAATGGATGATGAATAAATGTTGAAATTTTCTTTTTAGACATTCAAAGATAGGAAGATTTTGGAATACACTTGCCATACTGCTTTCTTTGTTTCAATTGTGATAGTCCAGTGGGCAGATTTAATCATCTGTAAAACGAGAAGGAATTCCGTTTTACACCAAGGAATGAGGTAATGTATGATTATAAGTATTCAAATGATATGAACTTAAATTCTATTCTAATACGCATTAGTGACATTTGTTGTTTAAATAAACATATTTATAGTCTGCGAAATAAAATAGAAAATCATACTTAAGAACTTCTGGAATCATGTTTGCATTTCCGTGTACTAAAAAGCAATATTTTTAGTTTGAGAAGACTGCCGTTATGCTGATTAATTGCAGGTGACAATTTAAGTTACGAAAGAAGTTGAACATGTATTTTCTTTGAATGAACACACTTTATTTATTTTCAAATGATTCAGGTTTTTGACCTTGAAAATTTTATAGTGAAAATAAAATTGATGAAAGTATGAGAATACAGCTTCTATAGATTTTTTTTTTCATTTATTAGATTTTAGCAATTAAAATTACTTAATTTAACATGATTTAAAAACGTTAATATCTTATAATTCATGATGGTTTTTATCATTATTAAACTAAGTAATCGTTTAATTATTGCATTGAAGTTATTGCACTATTTACATATTTGAAATTTAATGGTAGCAAAGGATCTTAAATAAATTATTTATTTTTATTTATCTAGTTTTGATTCTAAAAGAATTGTGAGTATATACATTACATTATCTCACTAAAAGTATCCAAACGCCCACTTAAAGAAAAGGATCTGGAATTATGGTGTAAGGCCTAGGAGAATAAATTAGATAAATTTGGAATAGATAAGATGCATAAAATAGTAAAAAACAACAATCTTGAAGACACGTTTCCATACATTGACGTTTGTCTATTTTTTTTTATTTTTTTTCATGAGCGACATTTGTCAATTGTTATTCATGATAACTAGATGTATAGTGGTGCACGTTCATTTGCCAGACTAAAATTAATAAAAAAATTGAGCATTGAATATGATGTCTTGCAGGAAATTGATTTTAATGATGTGATAGAAGACTTCATCTCTCAAAACGCGTAAAAAGTATTGCTACCTTAAACTTCTTATGCAAATAATGTATTAAAGCTTTTATAATAATATATCATTGTTTTACTTTCTTAAAATAGAAATTAAAAATTATTCAAAAGTAAATTTTTTTCTTTGAAATCACTCAAAAAGGGCCCCCACATGAAGACAGACCCCCTAGAAACATAAAAACGCTCTGTTCATGTCTAAAAGAATTTTTTTCCTAGCACTGTGCCAACATCAAAATACAATTAAAACACGATAAAACCAACCCATAGTTTTTAATATTTCTATTGAATCTTTCTTATAGGAATCATGTATTGAATTTTGGCTTAGTATTTGAAACTGCTATGGCAGCTTTTCTTTGTTACACTCCAGGAATGGATAAAGGTCTTAGGATGTATCCTCTCAAGTAAGTCATTTTTAAACATTTTTTAACCGTTAAAAAAGCAATAATTCTCTTACTTGATTGACGGAATTTAAAATGAAACCCAAGCAAAGATCTTTTTTAACTATACTGCAGTCATTTATTTAGCTAAATCCTTTAATTTCTAATGTATTGGTAGATTAAAGTACTAGGTAACAATCTTATAGAGGAAGAAGGTTCCAAGTAGATTTTGCAACTAATGCAGGGCTCAAAGTTGTCCTTAATTTTCTTTTTTTATAAAAGTGTCCTTAAATGTCTTTAATTATTAAGTATTTTAATTAATACTCCAAAATTCCAAGTTTTTGTTGAAGTTAACAGAAAGAATAAATATTAATTATCTAAAAGAATTAAAGAAATTTTAAATTCAAAAATTATGCTATATGCCATGAAACAAAGTAAATAACAAAATGAACGACTGTCATAGTGCATCAAGTACGATATTTGTCTACTTCCAGTGTTAAGAGACAATTACCCTTGATTTGATGGCTGAAAAACATTCAATGTGCGAAAAGCATTCAATGTCCTATCTCTCTACTCCCTCCTCATCATTACATCATAATCAACTCTTTTTTACACGAAAATCCTCGTATTTTTTTACTACTTAACAATTTTCTATATTTAATCTATTTTCTCCTCTTTCTTTGTAGATAATAAGCCATGAAAGGAATTTATGTGTAACTTTAAAAAAAAAAAAAAAAAAAAAAACTTAGTTTTTTTAAAAAATTTCCTAGTTTTACTTAATTGCGGGAACTACTAAATCTATTACCAATTGTTATAAATACAAATCCTTTTTGGTATTGTACAAATTTCTCCCATTAGAGAATCAGCATCTTTAAATTGTCCTTGCAATTTGGAGGCAATTTTGTCCTTAATTTTTATATTTTGCACTTCCATCCTTGTTAACCTAACAAAGTCTTTTAGCAAGCAAATTAAAACTCCAAGAGTGTGAACTGTTAGGATTAACATAGCTTTACATTTCATAGCTGCAAACTCTACTGAATTTTGTCAGTTTTTTTCTGGTCTGGTTTAATAAAAATTCTCCTGTTTTTTTTATATATATATATATTTTAAAAAACTCCTTTAAATTGAGTAAGTTTTCTAAAAAGGTCCTAATTTGAATATTATTTTTACTTGGATTATTGATTGCTTGAATATTTCACTAAGTATTTTACTAATACGTAATGAAGCGAGACACATTTATAGAAATCAGTTTATTTTTGTTCTAAAAATGTTCAGTTCACTTTTTTTTCAGAACTTCCTTTTTCAATTAATTGAAATATCTTTTAACTATCTTTGATAAATTAAATACTATTCAAAATTATGAGTAACCATAATGCATAACATTTCAAGCTTATTTAATGTCAATCATAACTGGAAAATATCGCATTTTTTTCTATTTTGATGACTATAAAAATTCCGTATGTGTAAAATATTTAGTATATCATGCTACAATTATCATGAAATTTATATTATTTCCTGAAATCTGCTGGATTTTTTCCTATCCATGTTGGCAACTATAGATTTTGTTTTCGTAGTATAGTAATATTTAGATAAGTATTACTAATACATAATATTACTAATACATAATACCTCATTTATAGAAATCGGTATAAAAAAAAAAATTCTAAAATTTTCAGTTTAATTTTTTTTAGAACTCCCTTTTTCAATTAATTAAAAAATCTTTCATTTATCTTTGATGAATTGTTGTTGTTGTTCATTTACGTCGCACTAGAGCTACACAATGGGCTATCGGCGACAGACTGAGAAACATCCCTGAGGATGATCCGAAGACATGCCATCACAATTTTGATCCTCTGCAGAGGGGATGGTACCCCTGCTTCGGTAGCCCGACGACCTGCACGCGTAGTCGAGCACTTTACGGTAGAACAGTTTAACGAGGACCAATACCGCACACCCTCGGTCCCTAAGCACATTGATCCAAGTGGACACCCACCCGCACACTGACTGCAGCCAGTGATGCTTGACTTCGGTGATCTGCTGGGAACCGTGTCTTAACGATCAGTCCACTGCGGGACTCTTTGATGAATTAAATGCCTATTACTATTCAAAATTATGGGTAAATATAAAGCATAACATTTGAAGATCATTTAATATCAATCATAACTGAAAAATATCAAAGTTTTACTATTTTGATGACTATAAAATTCCCTATGTGTAAATTATTTAGTATATAACGCTAGAATTATCATGGAATTTATATTATTTCCTAAAATCTGCTGGATTTTTTTCCTATCCATGTTAGCAGCTATGGATTTTGTTTCATACTTATTTGTTCCCATTTGTTTTAGATTCAATTGGTGGTTACCAGCATTGCCCTTCTCCCTTCTCATATTTGTGTATGATGAAGTGCGAAGATATATATTGCGCAGGAACCCTGGCGGATGGGTAGAGAGAGAGACTTACTATTGACCTGCTTATTACTGTGTTAAGGACATTATGACAGATTTCTCATTTGAATTGAAGCTCCTGCCAAGATACGGGTGCAAAAGCTTCCACATAAAAGTACTATGCGAGAAATCTGAAAAAAGGGATGATAAGAAAGTTTTTTTTTAGTTTTTTTTTTTTTTTAAATTTTTATTTTGTGACATCCAATTGGTGTATCTCGAAAGCTCTTCAGAAAATCGTAAATGTACCTTAACTATTTTGAATAGTAGGAACAAGTAAATTAGAAGAGGAAGAAAAAAAATTAATTGATATTTGTAACCATTTTACTTTTAAATCTGCATTCTTTATTTAATTTTTTTATATATCTATATATATATATTTAAAAAATGCTTTATTATTGGATTTTATAATGTTGCCAAATTATACTGTAGAGCTGAGTGCATTTTTTGTTATTATTTTAATTTTATAGTGTTTATTTTATTCTTAAATAGGTGAAACTTTTTAAACATTATCATTTTTAACATTTTACTATGGTTATTGTTATGTAGCTAAAATTATCATCTGTGCTCTAGCAACTATCTAAATTTAGCTTTTATGTGAACTTGTGTAGTTTCAATTTTTGCCATTTGCAAAAGAATGACTTTACAATTATACAATTTTCAAATTTATTCTACTCTAATTGAAATTTCGATCTTTTTACAAACATCTATTTACATCATCTTATCTATAAATGGCTCAAATACTTTGCTTCCTCTAAAAAGTAACGTTTTGAAGAATTTCAAATAAAGAACAAATTATTGCACAATTATTTGCAAAAGAAAACAAAATTTACATTATATTTCTAAGATCTTTATACACTTAGTAGACATAAATGAGTAAAACTCTCACTTTCACAATATTTTTTACGAATATATATATATATAATGCATTGAAACAAAATTCTAACTGCACAGTCGACTCAAAAAGCTGACAACCGCAGGTTGGTTTTTTATAGACTATTCTCTTTTGATCAATCTTTAAAAAAAGAAAAATTTTCTTCAATGTCGCTCAGTTTTTTTTTTCTTCCATTTTTTTACAGTAGTTTATTTGCTTTCATATAGAATTGGGTGGAATAAATTGTCACAATTAGATGTTTTTGCACTTAAATATTTACAGTTTTTAGAAAAGTTTTTTTCTTTGAATATGAAGCTTTACTATTTTGAAATTATAAGGAAAGAAGTATGATAGTTGCCTTAAACTTGTGTCATTACTTTAATGTTGTGTGAATCATGCCACTCATATATGCATATTCATATGTGTATATTTTAGGCAGTTCATATAAATCAGGCAGAGGAGAAATCTGAAAATATATTTAATCCAATCATTGGTGTGGTTTTTTTTTTGTGTTGTGTTTTGTATTCTTTTACTTAATCTCACTTAAGAATCTCTGAATGAAATTTGAAACATAAGTGCATTTATTTCTTTTTCACCAGATTTCTTTCTTTTTTTAAAAAAGAAAAAGAAAATTGTGTTAATTGTTTCTTGTTATTTTATACAATTATCCCCTAAATGCCAAAGGTTTACTTTTCGATAAAACTGTTACGTAATTTTTTTTAGTATTTTTTACTAATTAAAGATAATGTAAGAAAAATAATTATCTTAGACGTTTTACTTTACTTATTACTCGTTTTGTGTTTAAAACAAAACCTTTGACATTATTGGACCAATTGGATGAATCAAAACCTGTTCACCCTGGGCCTTATTACCTAGCAGCTATAACAGGTTTAAATTCTGTTAAACTTTTGGCATTTAGCCTACTTGTGTCAGTGTTTCATCAAGAGTAGGAATCCATTCCATGACGAAATATTTCAGGAAGAAAGCTCTTTGCAATCACTGATTCCAGTTATGATGAAATGCAATGACTTTATCCTTCAGAGACAGTTCAAATTATATTTTTGTTATACTGTTATTGGCATAGAGTAAGTATATACATGTATGTAGAGTGGCTCTATAAAAAGTGACCCCAACAGACGTCATGTGACTTCAGATGCTCAGTTTTGCTTTGAATAATTTCCACTCTTTGTTTTCTGTAACTAAGAACTTTTTAAAAAATAAAAAATGTCTGTTTAAGATTAATAATTCTGTAGATCTATTAAACTCATTTTAAAAAAGATAGATTTTTAGAGGTATGTTTTAATTATTTACAACTTATCTATTGGTGTGAAATCAGGTAGTAAAAGTTATCACATAATTCTTATTACCTTGTGTGGAGCATTTGATTTGCGACTCCAAATATTCTTTGCTTTTAGTTCTGATTACAGGGAACCTTGAATCTAATGACTATGGATTTTATTGCTCACTACATACAGTCTATGTATTTTTATTTTGACTATAGAATTACAGATAGCTTAGACTTTCATTTTTATGTGCTTTAATTCTGTCCAAAAAATTATTGGCAACTTTTAAAAGCTGTGGAATAGTCCATTTTGTTGCATTGTGTAATTTTGACTACAAAAATAAGGACAACCTTGTATTATGTATTTTAATTTTGGCTGCAGTTTTGCAGACAGCCATCCGACTATAGAATTACAGATAGTTTTGACGCTATGTGTTTTTATTCTGATTACTAAATTATTGGCAGCTTTAAGAAACTGTGGAATTGTCCAATTTGTTTAACAGCCCTTTAGCTTTAATAAACTTTTTTTTTTTTTACTAAATTTGTAAATGACTGCTTGTTTCTACTAACTTCTTGCAGTTCGGAATTAAACCCTTATTGATTGGGAAAATTAATTCATATACTTAGAAATAATCTTTTGGGTGTTTCTATAAAATCTAATCTTTATGCAATTTTGATGTAAGTGTATTTTAATGTTTGGAAATATTTAGCTGAATAAATATATGTGTTTAAATTCTTTGTACATTTCTATCAAAGTTTAAAATGAATTAAGTTTTATTTTTCCCACCATTTTATTATAATGTTAAAATATCATTGTATTCTTTTCAAACTCTCGTTTGTGTGTAGTCATTTGTTTACTTTCAACTGTACATTAGAATGAGTCAATATATTTAGTAAATGAAGACAATCGAGTCACATGACCACTCTCGTTAGTATTGGGGGCAATGGCTGATGACTCCTTCTGCGTTTACTATGCTTACTCTATGGTTATTGGTATGTTATTAGATAGGTTTTTTAATATGTTATAATTCAATTGCAATCTGATTTACTCTGAAAAACAAATTTCTTTGTTTGTTTCTCTTTTTATATATTGTTGATAATGTTTCAATTTTGTATATGTTTATCGATATCAATCCACCGGCTTCTGTTTCATAAAATTAAGTTTGTGGTTTTGATATTCATTTGTTTTTTTTTATTAATTGTAGCTTTATATAATTTAATAGTATTTGAATATTTAAGGAAAAATAAAGAAAGAAGATATTTTTTAAAGCATCTACTTTTATCTGAAATGTGTATTCTTTGCTCACAGATGTTTGAGGTTTAAAAGCCTTGTATTGTTTTTTCTTTGTTAAAAAAAATACTTTTAAAACAAGTTGCATTTCTGATGAATTTTAATAAAGTGTGTGCACTGAAAATGTAATGTTTTTTATTTTATTTTATTTTTCATTGTATTTCATGTTGAATTGGAAGGATGCATATAAATATATAGCAATAAAAAAAAAAGACTGCTGCTGTAATTGGTAGAAATGAGAAATCACTATTGCTATAAAAATTAGTTATACGATGTGATTTATGATTAAGGCTTGATATTCCTTAAACATGTAAATTATTTACTCTAATCAATGAAAAATAAATACAGTTTCTATTTTTTCCCCTGTTCTTAATTTCTTATGAGAGACTCTCTTTGTAAAGGAATTGTATTTTGAATTGGTGTGTGTTTGTACAGATATAACAGGATGATTTTATTTCGATTTATAACGATCATCAAGCAGCGTGTCTAAGGCATATCAACAGTTTCTACACTCAGTATACTCTCACTATCTCAAAATTGAAGGGACACTGAAAACATTTTGACTTAGCGAGTTTTTGAGATAACATGTCCAGATCTCAATATGTTCTAAAAAGTAGAGTCATAAAACATAAGAATAACTATTGAATCTAGTTGACTATAAGTCTAAATATAATGATGATAATTTTATTTTTAAAAGTAAGAAAAGAACAATTATGCATTAAATAAAGAAGAATTGGTTTACAATGAACTTCTATTATGATTTTTCTGGAAATATTCCTTTTCTATTTCGAAAGAAATTCACCTTAGCAAGTTTTTGAGAAGAAACCCTTTGACATAGGAATTCAAATTAACATAAGGCAGATATATAGTGCCATGGGGAATTATTATTATTTATTTTTTTTTGACATAACAAGGTTTTTCGAGATATTGAGAGTATACTGTATTTTATTTTTTATTCTTACTAGAACCTCTTGGGAACAACCTATCTGAGACAGATTTCCTGTCTGTCTAAGATATATTTCCAGTTATTTCTGTGAATTTTATATTTGGCTATTACAATTATCAGAAAAGCTGAAAATAGGGGAAGTCCAAATTATTTTAAATCTGGTTTATTTATACTGATGGTGTTTTTTAAGGTTACGGGCGATTGCCTGCATTCCAGTAGCATTATAATAATACAACAAGCATGCAGTGTTGGCCTTTCAATTTCAAACTACCTCCCTATTTACAGTAGATTGTGTCTGTTCTTTTGAAGGTTTCGAAAAATAAGAAATATGCTGTAATCTCATCATTTATGTGTTCTTAAAGTAAAGAGCCATTGCTTGGTATTCCTTGCACTGTTTTTAAGTGTAAGGGCAGTTGCATGGTATTTCCTTCTCTGAAAGTTTTAAATTGTGTGAAATTTGAATCACCTTCAGGCAAAGAAAAGAAGAAAAAAATTATTATTAATTAAAATTAATATAAGTGTGTGGCAAACTGGAAGTGCCAAAATACTTCTTTTAAAGGCATTTTGTTATTAGAAAGGTATTATTTTAAAATTCAAATTTCCGAATTCTGAAATCAAAATAATATATATATATTATTTTAAATGCATCTTTTTTAAGTAAAGTGCTGCCATTCATACCTTACCTTTCCCCACATGCTGAAAATATGGATCAGTCCAATCGCTACGATGGCAGTTTGGAATTAAAGAATTAGTGCTGCACTCTTGTTGTTTGTAATAATGTAGTTGGGCAGACTTGGCCAGTTTTGCCAAGTAATTCTCATTCACGCTGGACTCTACTATATTAAGATTCATTGTAAACTTAAATTTATTTATAAAAACAATATTTGTTCTTGAAATTCATGCAGTTCATTAGTTTCTAAATCATTTAAGCTAAAACTATTGATTTATGCATAAAATAATTTCTAGGGTGCAAAATTTAAATGCTGATTTACACTAAATAAAAATGAAAACATAATAAATCGTATCTCCAGACATAAGTAACTGAGAAACTAATATTTATTTTGGACTGTTAAATCTTATTTTGCACCTAAAAAAACTGATAAACAGGAATCTCATGAATATTGCTACTACAGCTTTAATGCATAAAAAAGTGTTTTAAAGCTGCTTTGATTTCATAATATTTTAAATTAACTTAAAGTTTTTCTGGGACAGTTATTTACACAAAATACAGGCAGAAAAAAAATAATCGTTCTCTAACAATCATGGCCATTGGGGTTAATTTTAGAAAGAAAAAATTTTCCGCTATTGGGCCCTCCACAAAATATTTTACCTTATAAGCGACGAATTCGTTATATATATATATATTTTTATATAATTTTCTATCAATACTTCTCGAAATCATAACGATATTTTCTTAAAAACATAAATAAGATGAAGCTTTCATCCGACTACTACTTTTATTTTTACTAAATATTAATTTTATATTTTTAGATAAACATGAGCTAAATTTTGTTTTAATTTGCAAAAATATTTTAAAATTCTAGCATATTTGCTAGATAAGCAAAATTTAAATTAAAAGATTCAACCTGGGTTAAAAGTTTATAAATGTTATGTAACTGGGTATTTTTTCTTTGCTTTAAAGTTCATAAATGTTATGTAACTAGGTATTTTTTCCTTGCTTTAAAGTTCATTTTAAAATATCAAAAGCCTTTCTGACATCCTTTGAAAAGAGATTAATCTTATTGAACAAGTGATGATTATGGACATTAAAAAAAATTTATAGGCAATCTATAACTTTATTCATGAACAGTTTTATAATTTTTATTTTCACCATACAATTTCCCTAAGAAGTGTGACCCATGCCTGTAATTTTGTTCCCAGGGAGAGCTGCGTAAATAGTCCCCAAAAATGAAGAAATTCAAACCGCATAATGATCAACTTTTAATTTTTTTTTTCACCACGCTTATTTCGGACATAATCCTAAACTTAGCATTTTTGCGGCAATAAATAAAAATCCAATTTTTATATTGTATTCGTTTGACCACAAATGACCACCTTTTAGTTTTTTTCTTATAACCCTTATTTTAGTTGTGACCAAAAAAATAAGGTTTTGGGGAAGCGTGAAGTTAACCCCCGAAAATCAGGAAAGTTTAAAATTTCGACTGAATTTGTTTGACCACTTTTTAGTTTTTTTTTACCACTTTTACTTTAGCCGTAATCTTAAGAATAAAGCTTGGAGGAAGCTTTATGTTGGCCCCCGAAAATGAGGAAACTCAAATATACAAACTGCATTCGTTTGACCATAAATGATCATCTTTTAATTTTTTCGACCGCTTTTATTTCGGACATAATCTTTAAAATTATCACATTTTTACGCCATATAAAGAAAATTTCAATTTTTATGGTGTATTCGTTTGACAACCTTTTAGTTTTTTTCCAACCTTATTTTAGCCGTAATCCATAAAAATAAGGCTTGAGGGAAGCGGAAAGATAGCCCCCGAAAATCTGAAAAATAAAAAAAAATTTCAACTACCTTTGATCGACCACCTCTTAGTTTGTTTGTTTTTTTTACCATCCTTATTTTAGCCGTAATCATGAAATTGAATAATATTTTTGAAATTAAATTGTAAACATTAAAATATTTGTCTTTTCTTAGAATTAAATTTCAATGGATCTACGAGACTTCAAGTTGTTACCGCGGTTCCGCTTGTACATATTCTGAGCCTGGATTCAATTGGAAGGATTCTTGCACTCTCATGTGCAACTGCTGAATTTTGCAGGAAATTGGCGATCGAAATGGGCTGCAGGTGGCGTAGAGCAGAACTCTTTTCCTATGGCAACACTTCACATGCTTTCCCCATTAGCGTGTGGAAAGTCATAGAGGAAGGAAGTACGTTAGTTTCTCTCTTGATTTTCATATAAATTAAAATCTTTTAAGTTGGAAAACTATATGGAACTGAAAACTACATTAAACATAGTTCTAAAGAAAAGTATCAAGGAAATTTTTAAAAATATTTTTATTAAGTAAAAAGGAAAAATATTAAGAAAAGGGAAAATATCGTAGTACATTATTCCTATATAACTGAAAAGAGGAGGAGAGGGAAGGGAGAAGGGCTAAAGGCATGAAACCGGTCTCTCCCCAGATGGCGTATTCGAGTGTTGCGATCGCGAATTCTTAATCTCAGGCTTCATTTTCCGCCCTCTGAAATAGAACCGAATAAAACTAAATTTTTTTTTTCATTNTGATGGCATGTCTTCGGATCATCCTCAGGGATGTTTCCCAGACCGTCGCCAATAGCCCATTGTGCAGCTCTAGTGCGACAAAGTGCCCTTAATTTGTTCTATGTAAAAACTTAATAAAATTTAGAGGCAAGATTTTGAAAACGTATGACAGGACCGGCTTTCACTATTTTAAATGCAGAAAAATATCTTATGTTATTTAGATTTGTCATTCCAAAAAAATTTAATTTATCATCTGCAGAGTAACAAAACTGTGGTGTCATGTCTTCAGATTATTCACGGGGATGCTTCCCAGATCGTCACCAGTAACTCATTGCGCAGCTCTAAAACTGCATTAATAAAGAACTGCGACTACTAGTTAAAACATCGAAATTGTGTGATCATTTTATTTTTCGAACTCTTAACAAGTTCTTCGCCTATGCGAATTCATGTATGCCAGATTAGGAAATATGTGAACCTTATTGGTGAAAATACTACTAAAAACTCACCAATCATGTTTTCGCTCGCATCTCCTAATTCAGATACGCGAGGCTTTCACATCCAGTGTGAATGTCCCATAAGCAAAAAAACAAAGGTGAGAAAATCTTACAGATTTTCGCACCTTTGATCACCGTCGGGAGAAAATGAGAGCTTGATTGGTGAGTTCGTTGAGAGAAAATATATTTTACCAATCAATCCTGGAGGGGAAAATATATGTAGTGAGAATGACCCTTGTAATCGTTATTTACCTTTACCTTAAATTCATGGCAGCCAAAGCAAATAACTGCAACTGTACGATTTAAAAATTATAAACAAACAAATCTGTAAACAAACTTCTTAGATTTATCATCGACTTAGGCAAAGAAAGAATTACCAAATTTTTATAATTTCATCTAAAAATTCCTCCAGACAAACATATTTTTATAAAATTTGCTAAATCAGGAATTCTAAATTTATTAAGAGATTATACACCTTTCATTATCTAGGATAAGTTTTAGAATAAGAAATGAAGACATATTTTTTCCTATTACAGTTAAAAAAGAAAAACAATAATGCCTACTTTGTGTACTTCCTTGAACCTTTACAAGTAACAAAAAAGTATCTAAAATAAATGTACTTATATGTTTTGAGCAGAAAAGCAATTTTAATATTCATAACTTTTAAAGCCTTATTTAAATTATGCATAATATCAGAAATCAACTTAAAATATTATCTTGTTCATTCTGAAGATCTACTTTATTCATGCACACTGTATCTATAACACAATATATACATGGAAAGTAGTAAACACTCTCTTGTTCATACTACTGAAAAACTTCTTTCAGGCTCTATGTGTGTTAAAACATTGGCAGGAAAAGCTAGCTTATAGAGGCACTGTCGAGTAGATACTGGATTGAAGCCATTTACGTGTAGTATGAATGATAAAACATTAACCCATACAGCTACTTTAAATAAACATACTGTTACTGACAGTGGAAAAAAAACATTCACGTGTAGTGTGTGTGACAAAGCATTCACTGATAAAGCCACTTTAAATAGACACAATGTTATTCATAGTGGGAAAAAACCATTCAGGTGTAGTGTATGTGACAAAACATTTACACTGAAATTCAATTTAAATAGACACTCTCTTACTCATACAGGAAAAAAGTCTTTCACATGTAGTGTGTGCGATAAAACATTTGCTCATAAAGTCAGTTTAAATAAGCACTTTTTAACTCATACTATAGAAAAGCCTTATTCATGCAGTGTTTGTAATAAAGCATTCACACAGATAGACCATTTAAATAAACATTCACTTGTTCACGGGGAGAAATCTTATTCATGTAGTGTTTGTGATAAAAAATTCACACGGAAATACAATTTAATTGTACACTGTGCTACTCATACTGGAGAAAAGCTATTCTCATGTAATGTATGCAATAAAACATTCACCCAAAAATGTAGTCTGGTTCGCCACTATCTTGTTCATACTGGAGAGAAACCTTATTCATGCAGTGTATGTGATAAAACCTTTGTGAATAGAACCAGTTTAAAAAATCACTCTCTTGTTCATACTGGAGAGAAGCCTTATTCATGTAGTGTATGTGATAAAACATACTCACATAAATTTAGTCTAAATAAACACTCTCTTGTTCATACTGGAGAGAAGCCTTATTCGTGCAATGTTTGTGATAAAATATTCACACAGAAAGCTGATTTAACTGCACACTCTGCTATTCATAGTGGAGAGCAGTTTTCATGTAGCATATGTGATAAAACATTTGCACATGAAGTCGGTTTAAGTAGGCACTACCTGGTTCATACTAGAGACAAATCATATTCATGTAGTGTATGTAATAAAACATACATATATGAGACTGATTTAAATAAACACTTTCTTGTCCATACTGGAGAGAAGCCTTATTCATGCAATGTGTGTAATAAGCTATTCACACAGAAAGGTAGTCTTAAAAGACACTACCTAGTTCATAATGGAGTGAAGCGTTATTCATGTATTGTATGTAGTAAAACATTTGCACAAAAATCTGGTTTAAATACGCACTGCCTTATTCACAGTGGAGAGAAGCCTTATTTATGCAATATTTGTGGTAAAACATTCTCACGGAAATACAATTTCAATGAACACTCCGCTCTTCATGCTGACAGGAAGCTACTCTCATGCAGTGTGTGTAATAAAACATTCAGATGGAAAGCTAGTTTATATAAACACTCTCTTGTTCATACTAGAGAAAAAACTGATTTAAATTAAATCTTTATATTTTTTTCATAGTTGATAGAGCCTTATTCAATGCAGTTTGTAAATAAACATTCACACTTAAAAATCAGTTTATTTCCTGTAGATTGAGCGTGTGTGTGATAAATGTTTCAAAAATAAATATTATTAGGATTTAAAACTGTTAAAAAAAAGAACTTTGATGAAGCCATGTGAAGTAATTAGAAATAGACTAAATTTATAAATTTTTTTTATTATTATTAAAGAGAAGAAAAAAAATTTCCTTTAATTAGGGTTTATACCTTTCAGGAAAAACTCTGGAATTTCAAATTACCAAATATTCCAATATATAAGTCAACTTAAAAAGCCCAAAAACTTTTATGAAAATCAGGTGGTTGACTTTTACATCAGTGACAATTGTTGATCGTGAAATATTGATGCATTATAAACAATGAGATGGGTGTGAATAACTCTGTATAAAATTACCTGTTTAAAAAACTATTAATTTGTTATTTATAATAGATTTTCAAATTTATCTCACAATATTCTCGTTATGTTTTAAGATTTGTTTAAAAACATTACTTTAAATGAGATTCAGAAAAGAAATTAAGGATAAGAAAAGTTATAAAATATTCAAGAATATTTTCACATCGTTTAAGAAAATTTTACAATAATAATAATAATGGTAAGATAAACCTAGTTAATTGTTCACCTCACAGCATTCATAAATGTGTCTTTATTTGAGGTGGCCGAATTTCGATAAAATGAAAAACTTTCTGCAAACACAAAATCTCAATTAAAAACCTTCTGCATGCCTAATTGATTCTTGTAACTAGTTTCTAGTTTCACCCTTTTTGTCGCAACCTAATTTTAACGAAACCTTTTTTTAAAAAAGTGTTTTAATTTTTATAAAACTCTACATTGGTTGTCACACTTAACAGCACATTTTTCTTTAAATTTAGCATTTTTTTGAAGATGAAAAATTAGTTACAGACGTACCAAATGACTTTGTTATTGTGTCCTATTTTTCTAAGATTGACTACAGGGTAGAATATAGAAATTTTGACCATTTATTTATGTATACATACTAACTCTTCACTCAAGTTTCACTCTTTCCCCGATCATAGATTTACCAAGTGGTAGTAAAACAATTACAAAAATGAATGATGAATTTAAGGGATTTTGAACTGAATTATTTTTTTACAACAATGTTTAGCTGAAAATTAATGTATTTTTCTTCAAGTAATATTTGAATTTCAGATTATTTTCTTCCTTACTTCAGCATTAGTCTTTTCAGCTTATCTACTTTTAATAGTCAAATATATTCTTGGTATAATTTGTGGGAATTTTCCACTGACTTTAGAAATGAAATAATTTAGTTTTTCATAGACTGTAACATCAAAAATATTTAACTTCTACTCTTCTCTAACACTGTCAATAAGCTCATTTAAAAAGTTTTAATAATCATGAATAATTCAGACAAATTTCAAATACACTTTTTGAACTACCGTTCAGTTTAATTCCAGGTTGAAATAAGTTCTAAGTCTTTAAAAAATGGTCAAAAGGAAGCAAATTTGATTTTAATAAGTGCAGAAATATGCATAATTTTTTTTTTTTTTTATCAGTGTACTGATTTCAATTGGCATAATGAAGGCTTTTTCTAGTTGTGGCCTTAAACTTTAATGTCCTTTAAATTTTTGGCTTCCTTGGCAGCAAAAATATGTCCTGCACGAATTGCAGAATAATATGCCTTATAAACTTAATAATTTCACTGGTCAGCAGAAAGAACTTCTGCCATTCACTTTGAAAATGTTTCACAATGCTTGCGAGTATAAGCCAATGATAGCTATAAAGCACAACTTTGATGGCTCTTCTATTTACGCAAATATGTTTCTATCTCCTTGAAGCATTGCCCTGCTTCCACAGCAACTTTATATAAACTGGGATTTAATCAGCATTTTACGTAGAACTTCAATCTTTTTAGAAACACCAGCCAAATTTTAGGCAATTAAGAGTTTGATTTTTATGCAATTAAGAGTTCTTTTAATTTTTTATGAACTTTAATTGAAATCTTTGTATCTTTTATTAATTTACTACTGAAACAATTTTATGTATCTTTTTCCTAGCCCTTCGACACAAAATTTGTGACAAAATAAAAGAAAAAATATATTTAGCATTTTAATAATTTATGGTTAGGAAATACAGCATGAAGCATTTGTGTCTTTTTCTGTGTTAAAACCAACATTTTCTGAACAAATTTTTTTCAAATTTGCAGTTATTGAGATCAAAGAGAAATAATTATTCAATGGAGAAAAAAAACATTTTTTTTTTCAATCTACATTTTTTGGATTTTATATTTTAGTACTAATGTAATTATGATAATCTAATAGATTTTTTTAGTAACTATCCAACTGTTTTTTTATAATATCGCAATAAAGTATTGCTTATAATTAGAGCGTAAGAAAAAACATAAAGGGAACACAGGTGTCCCATCAAGGGGTTAAAGTGACTAAATAAAGCAACACTGGTGGAAAAAAAAAACATGTATGCATCTTTATAATTAGATTTTTATTATAATTAAAAATACTATTTACAAAATTCGAAGCAAACTTGAAGTTATGAAAATATTGCATTCAATTTACAATCAGCAATTCATAAATTTCATACATATTCTAGTTTGTAATACTGGAATCATTTTTCAATAAAATCACTGAATAAAACTTTTAAGTGCACTTTGATTATTAAAATACATTATCTAAGCTGAAAAATTCTTGATTTTTTTACAGCCTTATACACAAAAATATACTGATACTGTATAGTTGTGCAAATTGAGAAGTACATTTTGTTACATACAGTATACAAACCATAACAATATTTTGATTCTTAAAGAATATTAATTTTAATCAGAAATATACAAGTATATTATTTATATCAATTTTAAAAAAGCATTTAGTAGTGATGCTCACTACTAAGATTAAATAGGACAACCTTTTTAAACTTGGCTTAATTCAGCCGAGNTTTGATTCTTAAAGAATATTAATTTTAATCAGAAATATACAAGTATATTATTTATATCAATTTTAAAAAAAGCATTTAGTAGTGATTCTCACTACTAAGATTAAATAGGACAACCTTTTTAAACTTGGCTTAATTCAGCCGAGATCTGCATTAACCCTAGATTCATAAACATGCTAATAAATAAAATAATAAATTACTGAATTATCTACTAAAGTACTTTAAAGTTCACCTTTCTATCTCCTTCACATTTAAAGTTACATTAGTTGTTCATGTATTTTGTGACATAAATGTTTATGAATCTAAGGTTAATGTAGTTACAATATGCATTAACAGTAATAACAAATACAAATAAATATCACAGATGTTATATTTATAGAATAAATGAACACATCTTGTATATTTAAAAATGTGCCTATTTTAAGTCTACAACATTTTATTATTAATTTAAAATGAAATAATTACAAAAAAAGTATACATATTAATTAAAACTAATATATAAAATAAAATTTTTTAAAATTATAATAGTTAAAATAATAATAATAGAGAATTAACCCTTTTAGAGTTAGTTCTTTCTTCTTTTAAAAAAAGCTTTTATGGTATTCTCCTGATAACAAATGACGGGTTTTCTCAATGTTATTTGATATGAAAGTAGTGCATAACCTAGAAAATTTAGTACAACTTTCCTCTGAGTCATAATATTTGGAGGGTTAATGGCATTTAAAAATAAACAATTGAATCAGTCATTTAATTTTTTGAATTCTATTTTACTACTGTACTTAAAATATGTATAAAAATAATTATTTCGAATAGCACAAATAAAAATTATATTTGGGTTATTATGTAACAAATTATTATATATACTAGCAAAATATAAATTGTTTGGAATTTTATAAATTTCTTTACATTAGACAGTACCTTTTTTTATTTTAATTTATTAGTATATGGTGAATATAATTTTGTCTTCCACCATAACAACCATAGGTAAAAACTAGGAAATATTGCTACAGGCCAGTGGCAAGCTGTAACATTTTTAATAGAAGCCATTTTTTCAAAATTGAATGATTTTAATTATCTAAAGCCTTTCTTTCGAAGCATATCTCAAAACATGGCAAGATTTTTTTTTTTAATTAAGAAACATTTAAGAAATAAAATAATTTCAAGAATAATATAAAATTTTATTAATATTTCCATATTTATTTAAAGAAAATCATAAAATTCACAATAGGGTACATTTTTGATGAAAAAGTGGTGACTGGTAAGCTATTTTTTAATCACTTTATATGTTATAATTAATGACTGGTGATGACCGTTAATTTTGTTCCATAATAACCCTGGAGAATTAAGAATAGTAATAGCTGAATGGGTATTCTGAATAATATAATACTCAGCTGTTTTATTAAAATGGATGCATCTTATACTGTTGGGTATAATACAAAATACCCAGCTAAAATCATAAAAATTGTGAACATTCAATAATATTTTCTGTCTAAAGTAATCTCTAATAATTTTAAATAACTTTGACTAGTTTTTTTTAAAACAGAAATAAGCATATACATGATCTAATAAATATACATATATTGCATTCTTTTAATAAATTGTATCACAGATTTTTAAAAATGTATGCATACGTTCATATAGGAATATTTATTAAATTGCATCACAGATTTTTAATTAAAAAAATAATAAAATTTAAAGCGCTTAGTAGTTTTTCATGAAGAATAATTTCTTTCAATTCTCTTGGAATAATTTATTTAATAATTAAATATCATCTTATATGGTAACATACTACTTTGAAAAGCTCTTGGTTAAAAGCATTATTTAGGTTAAAGCACATGTTAAGTAACAAAAATTCACATTTAAAAACTATGAGGAAATGACTAGCAGCTGCTGAAAATTTGATCCAAAAAAAAAAAAAAACGTGGAATCATTATGTCAAAAAGTGAATAATGCTGAGAATGATTGTAACTGCAGTGAAATTCAACCCGTTTAAAAGAGATAACTCAAAGACACATTCTGAACTCCGCTTATTGTAAATCTGTATATATCTATATAAAAAAAGCAATCACTATTCACGTTTTGACAGAAGAAAAAAAAGTCGCTGGTAAGATAGTCTATGGTAAAATATATCTTGTTAACAAGATTTTGCAAAAGTTACAATATTTACATTTTAGAATAGTCAAACAAGAAAATTTCTTTGGAATGTAAATTTTTGAGTCGAGGAAGTCCGTCAATCAATCGTCATGACATTCTATGAATTATCTAAAACCCATGCGCTTGTTTTAATAATAGGAAATTACAATGACATATCTGCTAACATGAAAAGGAAAAAAATCCAGTAGATTTTATAAAACAATATGAATTTATGATAATTGTTTCATAATGTACTAAATGTTTCTCAAATAAGAGATTTTTATCGTTATCAAAATAGAAAAACTGCAATATTTTCCAGCTATGAATGACATTAAATGAACTTGAAATGTTATGTTTTATGCTTACTTATAATTTTGAATAATAATATGCATTTGATTAAACAAAGATGAAAATTTTTTTAATTAATTTAAAAAAGAAATTATGAATAAAAATAATTTGAACATTTTAAAACAACAAAAAAAAGTTTTGAGCTGATTTTTATAAATGAGGCTCACTTTATTATATATTACTAGTACTACTTATTTAATTATTCAAGCAAGCAATAATCTGCCCAATTATTCTATTTCAAAAGGGATTTTTTTAATTAACTTACTCCCGTTTAGGGAATGTACAAAAACCAGAATTTTTATTAAACCAGTAGACCAGGAAAAATCAAGTAGAGTTGGCAGCTATACAATCAGTCAGTTTATTTAATATTAACATGACATTTAAAGACAAACACATTTTCAGTCAATTATAGTAGATCTTCTCTAGATATTTATTTATAAAAATATATATGTAATCTCTTCATTAATTTTGACTAGTTTTTTTTCATAAATAAATAAGTACATAATTTAAAAACACATAAATAATAATTTAATAACACATTATGTACATAATTTAATAACATTTTAAAGTAGACGAAAAATTTAAATTGAAGCATATTTAAGAATATATATTTATGATTATACGAAAGAGATTAATAATTTTCTTTCCCATAAATTGAAGGTTCTTTAAGCATGATTTTTTAAAGTGTAAATTGATTGACATCATTTAGTATATAAAATATGACCCTCTTGTCTTTTAAGTATGAAGGCTATTTTGTTCTTATTTTTGTAATTCAGTTATTGGTATTAAGCAAATGTAGATCAATTCAGATATAATTACAACACTATCAATGTAACTAATTCAAGTGAAGATCAAACAAATTCGTAACTTTGAGTGCTACTAAAAGTATTGCGTCCAGATATTTGTAATATGGCAAAGTGCTTTGCTTTTTACAAAAAATTTCATTTGTCAAAGATTAGTTTTTGGTTCTTTATTTACATAATTTGATAAAAAGTTAAAATGTAGTCAAAAGAATTGTTTGGACACGCCAAAATAATTAAAAGAAACAGTAAATAACTACAAACTAAATTTTGCAAATATGTGACTATTTTTGCTTGTTTTTTAAAAGGTATAGCATGACATAACTACTATAAAGTGGTGAATTATATAAGCCTACAAGTTATTTAGAAATGGTGGATAAAAATCTACTAAATTGAATTTATTAAACCACAAATCACAATTGATTAACTACCACTTTAAAATATTTGCTGTCTGGAGCAAGTTGGCATCTCTGGCACAGCTCTTTTTTTTAAATAATTACATAGTTATAAAATAATAGGTAAGCAGAAGGATATGAATAAATTAATGTATAATACATTATGTTTCCTTACAAATTAATAATAAAATACTCTTACTAAATTGTGTAGTAAGGAAGTCATAGGGAAACTTAAAAATAATAATAATAAGTTACTGGAATTAGGTAGAACATTATAAAAGTAAAAATTATAAAAAATATTTTATAAAAGGAATACATTAGGTCCATAAACATATAATAATAAACTAAAATAGTCATTTGAAAAGGCAGTCAATGCAAAAATTGGACAACATGAAAATAATTTCAAAGACTTTCATACAAGATAAATTCTAAAGAAACTGAAATTCTTATTTTATTAAAAAGAACTTAATTGAATCAGTTTTTAATGGTATTTTCATATGTTCTTATTTGTTTTACTCAAAGTGGGAGTTATCTTTAAATGGGTCGTATAAGCATTCATGTCTTACGTCCCAAAATTGAAACATTTTGATTTTTATAGAGTAAATATTTTTTTAAAGTTTACATTTTTTTTATTAATATTTTTGCTTTCATTTAACAGCATTTCATATAATCAAGCAGAAAACAAAGTTGAAAAAAAATACAGGCAATAATGAGTTAATATCAATGTCCATTTTCATGTCTCGATTGAAAAATCCAGCTTACAGCTTTTACCAAATTATTATTCTAGAAATGAAAAAAGATAATTCAGTAAAAATCATATGATTACTTTACATTTAATATAAAAATTTAAAAAGAACTATTACAATCCACAGTTTCTATATTAAAAAAATATTGGAATAGTTAAATCTAACAAAGAAGAAATGAATGCATAGATTTAGTTAGACATTACATAAAGCAGTTAGGTATGTAGTAGTCTATCTATATCAAGTGTTTTATAAACCTATTGCTGTGGCCAGAAAAACTAAATTTTTTTATAGTTAACTACGACTACTTAAGCACAAGAATAGTTAATAACAGATACCACTATTTTTTTTGTTAGTTAATATAGTGATTACATACTGGCTTAAAAATATAATCACAACTAAACAACTTTTAAGAGAAATTTTACTGGATTTAATCATGTTCAAATTTTAAGAAATTGAACACTGAAAAAAAAAATATTTCTGAGAAAATGGTTTATAATATCAAATTGGCTTATATAAATATGAATTAAATAAGAAATATTATGTTTATAAGAGCCAATTTATTATTCTATACATTTAAACTAGTTTTTGTGTGCATGTTTTTGTTTTCTAACTATTTGATTAGGCTTTCTAGTTAGCTAGTGAATAAGCTTCATCTGAAAAATAATAGCATTTTGGCCACCTAAAAAAAATTTGAGTGCCATAAAAATTTTGAGAATAGCTGCTGCAACTGAAAATGCATAAGTTTGTGGAGGGGATTATCATCACATAATGCTTCTTTTGTATTAGTTAAGATTGGTTTTAACCTAATATAAATATATATATATATATACAGATAGAGAGAGGGNACACAGAGCATAGGGAGATATGTCCTGCTCTTAATTAAATGCATAGTTGAGCCAAAAATAGATTTAAGAACAGGATGTGGCTTTTAAAAGTGTGAGAAAGAATTTGGAATAGAATAATTAATTAGGAATAAAGTAGGAGTTGTTTCATAGCAAAGAAACTAACATAAAAAGATTAATAAAAGCTTTTTATGTTACATATATATACACAGATAGAGAGAGGGAAAATATTCCACTTCTCTAATAGTTTTTAATAAAAACTAAATTTTGTAGAAATTGCAAAAGTTTTTTTTCTCCCCTACTTAAAACGTCGACACAACAGATACATTCCTTTGCAATTGAACCACATGCATCTCTCTTTCTTTTATTTTTCTACAATTTTATATTCCCTTTATTAAATTGGATTAGCAATTTATTTAAATCTTCATTCAATATTAGTTCCAAAACCATTAAAACAAAAGCGGCCAAATGTGAATAAAAGTACAAAGAAGAAATGATTTCAAATGTGATGATACTGTAACATCATGGAAAAAAAATGTTGCTTATTTTAAATGATAATAAAATATTTCCTCACATCTAATGTGTCTGTAATTTTCTCATGCAAATTATTTGAAATATACCAAACATTCAAAAATCAATGATCCTTTTTCGGCCATCATTGATTATGTGTATAAAAATAAAGTTTTCTTTTTTTTACGAAACTGTTCTCCGAGATCTAAAATGTTTTTACTTTTTTCTTGTTTTTCTACTCAAAATAAAATAAAGGTCAGGATTATTTTCCCTTGAAAAAAAATCCTATATATTATCTCTGAATTTAATGCTTAAATGCTAATTTTTACCTACCTTCTCACTTAATTTTTTTTTTTTTTTTGTGCATTCAACTACTTTTATATTTTGTAAATAATGCTATATTAAATGGGTTGCATGCAAGAATAGCCTGGCTGATAAGGCTTTGGGCCCATGTCTGAAAGGTCGTGAGTTCCATCCTCATCGGCCAAAGACTCGCCATGTACAAAATGATGACTGGCGCAAGCTAAATCGTTCAGGGACAAAAGTCCTCTGAGTTTACATGAAAAATCAATACCTCTGGGGGTACTGGATTGGAGATTAATCCTTCTCGGGTTCAATCTGAAATTACGATCTGAGGATGAATGAATGGGTCCACCCTGTAAAACGGGATGTGACATATGTATGTTGTCTTCAGATCATCCTCAGGGATATCTTCCTAACCGTCCCCAATAACCAATTGTGCAGCTCTAGAGCAACATAAATAAAAGTACCTTATCGTTAAATGTATTGTCTTCTAAGAATGATGAAAGAATTTAGATTTGACAATTAGAATAACAAATTAACATGTAAAAACCATATAAAACAATGTTTTTCTTATGAGAGATGATTAAATAAGAAAACTGGTTATGTACAATAAATGTAATTTTTGGCTACAAAAACATTAAAAATTGATCAGAATAAAAGTATTGATCAAAATAAATGTTAAAATTATATATTCTGTCCAATACTTAACAATATATGTTACAACTCACTGTTGCTTCTAAAGCCATTGAAGCTTGATCCGAAGTAAAGCCCATCATAACTATTGCTTCGATTGCTTCAGCTGCTTTAGAATTATCTGCTAGTGGCTCATTAAAATCTAATAAATAAATAAAAATATTTATATATAAAAAAACAGAATAGTATACCTAATATTGCATTTATGAGTTTAGCAAGGTTAAAAAATTAACACTTTTTAGTTTTATATTCTAATAGTACTATAAAATTGTAAAAAATGTCAAATTAAAGAAGGGGAAGTAAAGTGAGCAGGCATGAAAATAATTTTGATTATAAAAGTTAAAACAATTAGCTTTTCATAAAATAATATTTATACATCATTGAAGCGTACTATAAATGCGGCAAAATTTGTACAAAAGAATATTTTTTAATAAAGCTTATTGCAAATATTTATAACTTTAACTTAACCATTACCAAAATGGTAATGTGATTGACATTCATCATGACTTTGAAGGGTTTTTTTTACCCTTCTTTTTTGACTTAGCTTAAAAATAAGAGAATTACCTTCATTTATATGATCTAAATACCAATCCAGAGCTTCTTCAATTCCTTTATTCTGTGTTTCATGCAAAGCTCTTTTGCTTTCTTTCATAGAAATACCCATATCAGTCAACTGGAACACAAGACTTTCATACTTTTCTAAAAAATATTTAAAAAAAACTTAGAGGAAGGACAAACACAAAAACATTCCATAATTTAAATTACAATGTTTAGCAGTGAAAGAAACATGGCTTTCACTTTCGTGTGAACTTACATTAAATAGTTTTTGAAATTCTTCTGTGATAAGGTTCCATCAAATTATAAACTAATAACTTCAACTCAGCGTAAGATAATATTTTATCCCAATAAACAATTTTATTTTGCTTACAAATGGATTTTCTATTTATTCGCACGGATTTATAAATTTTAATACTCGGTTAATTAGTAAATAAAAAATAACAATTAAATATTTTTTTAAAAATGTTTTGCTCATTTTAGTTTCTGAAGCTTAAACACTGCTGATTTGCCAAAAAGATTTTACCCTCCTGGTCACCAGGCAAAATGTAATATTTACACTCTCTTAACAGACCTGTATAATATACAGTGGGTGATCGGTTAACGAACATAATCCGTTCCAAGACTATGTTCGCTATNTTTGCTACCATAGCTAAAGTGACCACACGTCCCAATTTTGGCGGGACAGTCGCGATTTTTGGTGGACTATCCCGCCGATTTTTAAAAATGTCCCGCTTTTTAGAAAATATCTGCATTTCTTATTTTAAATGTACTGTAAAAATATATTACCTATTATGTATATTATTAAGTATTATGGTAAATATAAAGAAATAAAAAATACATTAAAAAAACACATAAAATGCATGCAGAGTAAACTAAATTAGGCAATGTACCGAGTTACTCGGTGGTGTTCGATCATTGTCGTTACGTATCGGCTTAATTCAGATAAATGCAGACAGTGCGGTTTGTTGTTTCCAATTTGACGTTCGGTTTGACTCATTATTTGATTGACGAAGGAAGTGGTAGAGCAATAGTCACCACAACGTAACGGTCAATAAGGTAAAATTTAATACTCTTTTTTAGCCTTTGTAGTAAATTTTTGTATTTATTTCTAGTATTTACGCACAGAATAAAAGATGAGTTAAAAAAGAGAACGCAAATTTAATGAAGAGCTAAGCAGAGAATTTCCATTTATTAAAAAACCAAAATAGACTATATGGTACGGTGTGATAAATGCAATGCTGAATTTTCTGTCTCACATGGCGGAAAAAACGATATTACTGAGAGGCACAAAAGATTTTTGAATAATGCCGCTTCCTCGTCTAAAATGGAACAGTTTTTTCGCAGTGTTAGCTTTGGCAACAAGGAAAAACAGCTAGCATTAGCGGAAGGGCTATTTGCTTTCCACATCATAAACCACAATCAAAGTTTCAGAACAATGGATAGTACGTCGCAAATGATCAAAACATTATACGACAAAAAATTTGCATGTGCAAAGACAAAAACGGAAGCAATTATTTATAATGTTTTTTCACCATATCCGTTTTCACAATTGCAGAAAGAATTAGAAAAAATGCGCATTTATATCCATATATTCTGATGCTTCCAACCACAAAGATTTAAAATTATTTCCCACAATTGTTACATTTTTCGATCCAGAAACAGGAATTAAAATTAGAATATTAGATTTTGTTTCATTGCCGGGTGAAACTTCACAAAAATTTTTTGATTCAATAAGTACTATTTTAAGAAATAATAATTTGAACAATAAAATTATTGCCTATTGTGCGGATAACACTAACGCAAATTTTGGTGGAAAAGCTAGAAGAGGAATCAATAACGTTTTTATGAAACTTAACGAACATTTGAACCAAAAAATTATTGGAGTAGGTTGTGCAGCTCATATTCTACATAAGGGGCCGTTCAAAAAGTACGTACATCCCGAAGGGGGGGGGAGGATTTGCTATTATGTACGGTTTTGTACGATGGGGTGGGGGGGAGGTATTATACAAAGTACGTACTTTATAAACATACACCAAATTTAAATTTGACTTTATCCTACACCCTCCTTAAGTAAATATTTAATTTTATTTAAAACATAATTATTTTAATTTTTATGAAAAAGGGGGGTAGACTAATAAAATGTACGTACTCTAAGGGGGTGGGAGTAAGACCTTATGTACGGTAATGTACGAAGGNCCGTTCAGATGTAATAATAATCTATACAGTGGGTGATCGGTTAACGAACATAATCCGTTCCAAGATTATGTTCGCTACCCGAATTGTTCGTTAACCGATCATCGATTCACCATAGACTTCTATGTGAAATCGATTAATTGGTTCTGGAGACCCAAAAAATTAAATTTTAAAAAATGTCTAATTTCTTAGTAAGTTTTTAAAAAATAATGCATACATATAGTCTTGCATATTAATCAGTCCTTTTTATTTTTTGCTTATTGGGCGTTGAAGAACATGTCCAATGTCGATTGCTTTTCTCTCTTTCTCAGGATTTTCCGGAAGTAATTAATAGCATTGTCGTTGTAAAGATCCCCAACTCTACTGACATCAGGTTTCGGTGCCATTCTAAGACCATTGCTATGACATCCTCCCACTTTTTCAAAAGATCTTTAATGGCAGTTGTCGGCATTGGTCCTCTTTCGTCTTCCTCTTGTTCACAAGGAGACACATTTCGCTGTGTTTCTTGGTGTACTTCATTCAAAATTTCTTGGAGTTCTTCTGTCGTCAGTTCATCTTCACGTCCCTTTATGAGCTCTTCTATGTCATCCGCGTTCACCTCCAATTCCAGATCTCTAGCAGATGTCAAAATTTCAGAAATGTCTCCCTAATCACCTCCGTCTCCTTGAACGAAGGATGGACACAGCTTCCGCCAAGCAGAAATCAACTGTCGCTGTGTGACTTCTGACCACGCCTTTTGAATGATACGAATAGCTTCAAGAATGTCAAATTTTTCTTTCCTAAACTTTTTTGAAGTCATTGTTGAGGAGAATTGGCTTGCTTCAAAACACCGACGAAACAGCACGCGAGTGTACAATTTCTTGAAAGCTGCAATAACTACCTGATCTATCGGCTGAATCAGCGAAGTCGTATTCGGAGGTGAAAACTGAACTGTCAGCCAGGGAAAGTCTGTCAACAAATTATCTTCAAGATCCTTTGGATGTCCTGGTGCATTGTCCAATAGCAGCAGTGCTTTCAACGGCAAGTCATTGGTATCAAGGTAGTCCTTTATGCTCGGACAAACTTCAAATAGCCATTCTTTGAAAAGATACTGCGTGACCCATGCCCTCTGATTCGATCTCGACATTACTGGCAGTTTGTTCTTAATTATGGAATTTTTTTTTTAATGCTCTGGGATTCTCAGAGTGGTAAACAAGAAGTGTTTTAAGCTTTATAATAATAATTATTGAATGACCTTTAAATTTAAATTCATTGTTAATTCAAGTTTCATTTAGTAATTATCAATACTAAGCATGCTTTAAATATCTTATTTTGTATGCAAAATAATAACAAACGCTTAATAGTACTTTTTTTTTTCTGGCCGAGAAGTGTTCATTAGAATTCGTTTTGTTCATTATCCGAATATGTGTTCGATGTCCGAACTCAAAAAATCTTTCTTGAAAGTGTTCGTTATCTGAATATGTATTCGTTAACCGAACACAAAAATCTTTCGTGAAAGTGTTCGTTAACCGATTTGTTCGTAAACCGATCTGTTCGTTAACCGATCACCCACTGTACATGGAAAAATTTGCTACCATAGCGGACATTTTTTTACTATTACTAAAATAGTAAAGCAATCTGTCTCTTCAAAAAGAGTTTGTCTTTTTCAAATTCCTGAGTAAAAGTTTCATTTTTATGCTTTTTTCTCCCAATGCAAGTTGAATTTAAAATTACCTTTACACGATTTAAAAGCACATATCGCAATTTAAGATCACCCACCGTGTCACATATCAAATATAAAGTTTCTCATTCACGCAATTTAAAAGCCACTATTAAGGTTTTTGTTCAAGGGACTTAAAAATTGTGCATCAGAATTCATATTCACTCTATTTTAAAATGAAACATCGAGATTCATATTCATACGATTTTAGAATCAAACATCAGAATTCATATTCACTCTATTTTGAAATAAAAAATTCAGATTCGCATTCACACAATTATAAAATCATACATATGATTAAAACCAACCTGAATTTACATGAAAGCATTATGAATCATGTGAAGATAATTATCTACAAAAACACCTGAGAAGCCATTGGAAAATAACATTGATTTGGGTTATTTTCCTATAATTTTTAAACAGTTACAAATACAATTTAAGAAAAGTGGTTACAAGAATTAAAAATTTTGGTGGCGCATTAATATTAAATTTTTAAAAAAATAAAAAATCAGTTTGAAAAACCATGCGGAAATGGTCAATAAATGATATATAAGTGTCGGAAAAGACATGGATTTACAATAGAATTAAGCATGTAATTAAGTAATCACTCAAATTAGAAATTTGGATGTTGTAAAAAAAACATCCATTAAAAAATCGAAATTAATAAAATCATATTAAAAGAGCTGTAAAGATGAAAAATAACTGAAAAGTCATGAATTGATCGCATCAAAAAGTGATTACTCACATTTGACCTTTGGATGCCGAATCACATCAAGAAGAAATTCTTCTAATTTGCCATTCGCTTGTCGTAATGAATTAAAAATATTGGAACTTGGAAAAACTTAGTAGAAAGAAAAGGGAAGAAAAAAAACTATTAAAAAACCAGGCAATAAGAGGTTACTACCAATTTTTACTACTATGTTTTTCTAAAACTAGCATTTGATTTTTTTTAATTGGCAATTTGCTCTTCGCTAGTACATTTCCAAAGCAGTTTATATAAATTGCATTTTACAAAGAGTACTTATAGATAATTACATATATATCAAATTAGTTATAGTCGTAGTTAAATAAACAAATGTAGTTTCTTAAGCCACTGCTAGCAGGTTAATCTCAATGAGAAAGTGTCCATCAAAATCCCACATTGAACGGGAGGAAATGAAAGCAAACATGCTGCTTATTGATGTCCTTATCAATAAGAAAAGTGGAATTCCCCCCCCCCTTTTTTTCAAAGAACATGTTCCATCCACCTATTGCAGCACATGGGCTTCTTTTTCTTCGCAGCACATAATTTTTACATCTTTACCCATCCGTTTTAACTGGGTCACATTTAACTGGATGGATCCCTTAATTTAAGGGGTTTTCCTGGAACAGAATAGGTAAGACATCAGTCTATTACTAATCTCAAGAATCAGTCAGCTAAATGACAAGCAAAAGATGCTCACACAACAGAAGGCACTGTAAAAAACATTTGGAATATGCATGACACAATATTCATACAATACTCAGAAAAAATATTAACAGAATATTATGCAGCTTTGTTGCACCAATTAAAGGATGAAATCAATAGGAAATGAGCTCATATGGCAAAGAATGAAGTGTTCTTTCATAAAGTAATGCAATATATACAAATTGCAACCGACTGTGAAATAATGAATTTTTGTCTTGTTATGTGTTAAATTATATATGATATAATTTTAATAAATTTAATTGCAAACATTGCTTTGTTTTATTACTTACATGTTAGTTACATAGAATCAAATTTCTGTATAACCCTCAACACGTCAACCCTCTATTTTTTATTACGAGATAGCACATTTCTGGTATGTCGGGTGTATAAGTCAGTCGTCATTGATAAATCGATTATTATTCCTGTAGACGTCATGTGTCAAATAGGCTCAAAGAAAAATTTCATATAGCCATATACATATGGAAAAGAATATACATAGAAAATAGCCATATCGACTCAAGGGAAAATGTAGATTCATATGTTATTGTAAAATATTTTAAAAAGTAGTGGTTTGAAATTTTTAAATGAGGCTGAAGATTGTTTTCTGTGGCATGAGGTAGAATACATTGCAAAGTGGGATCAACTGACACTGCTAACATTGTTTAAAATCGATACAGGTGTTCTGGAATTTTTAGTTTTGCATCTTTATGGTTTGTTTTAAAGGTTTTCATGCTAATTTATTCAAGAGTATTTAAATATACCTTAACTTTGCTTACTCTTAACTTCTTTTCTGAATCTAATTTAAAGCATTATTTTATATATAAAAGGTAATATGAAAAGAAAATATGTTAGAAAATATACTATAAATTGCATGTAACATAAAAAAGTTTTTGAAAACGATAAATTGATATAAAGTAATTCATATTTTTCTCTTGTTAATGCAATGACATTTCAAAACAAATATCCCTCTTTATTAGTAGTGTATAAGTGACCCTCTATTTTTTATTTTTTTTCAAATTTCGAGAGTCTGAAAAGTTGACTTAACCGCCTGTTACCATGTGAAACAGCAGTTTGTGGTTTCTTGTAGCTAGAACAGGGGTTTCCAACTGGCGGCCCGTGAAGCCTTTTTTTTGTGGCCCGCGAACTAAAACATATTAGTTGTCATTTTTTTTGCGGACGCCGGCCAGGTGGCCGAGTGGTTAGTGTGTCTGGCTGCGGAGCCAATGGCCGCGGGTTCGAATCCCGCTCTGGGCATGAATGTTTCTCTCTCTGCGTTGTCTTCTGTTGTGTGAATGAGTGAATGTGGCCCACCCTATGAACGGGTTTGAGGCAGTATGGTGTGGGTAACGTTGCTCGCCTCCGTGACTTTGGCTCACAGGTGCCCACTGGGTAACGCTAAATGAGTAACAATTCCGGCATCTTCTATGGCGGAGAACGAAAAGTTCAGTGCCTGCCGTTATTCAAAAAAAAAAAATTTGCGGACAATTTTTGTAAAAAATCTACATGGGTTTAAAATACCTTTCTTATTAATAAAAACCTCATTTCTTCATTTCTGTGAAATTTAACATACTAACAGTGCAAATAAATTTTTTTCTCAGGTTTTGCATCCAAGAAAATATCTATTCAAACACAAAAATAATCGTGTATATTGCTCTTTTTTATTTCATTTTTCTTTGTATTTTGTGAATATAATTTAGCATGATCGCATCAGGAATTCTCTTGAAGAAATTCTCCGATTTAACTTTTTGAAACCACTCATTTTGGACGAAAATATTTACACACACACTGGTAAACTTTAAATTTATAATGTAAATATCTATTCTCTAGTGGTTATAGCAGACAAACCTCAATTTTCTCATTAAACATTTTGTGTGCTACTATGTAAGTTTTAATACCAACCTTTTTAAAGTTTTATGCCTTAACAATTAGATATCTGTTGTACATTAATTGTTTAATACATAGGTGCACATTAAAGTTATTGTAGCCAGAATTTTTACTATTTAATATTTTTAAAAATATTATTACTAACAATTAAATATTTTTAAAAATCTACTTCTTATTTTAATTTGTAATCCAATACTTTTGTTTTGTACAACTTGGTAAAAATCTGACAGTAATATTTAATGTTCCTTCAAACATAAAAGAGTCCTACATAAAATTTTGATAAAGTTGCGGCCCGCCATTTGATTTGTGTTTTTAATTGTGGCCCCCGGCCTCATGTAAGTTGGAAACCCCTGAGCTAGAAGATGACAACTGAACAAGAGAAGATTCACCAGATTAGGATACAGATGGGTTGGATGTCAGATCATTGTTCTATGACATGTCAGTTTCCCCATTAATACTCTGTTAGATTAACTTTGTTTAATAACTTTAATCTCATTTCAATGAAATAGAATAAAATTAAGTTAATTTGTGACGCAGTTGTTTGTCGTTTCTCAATGCTAAAAGATGACAAAAGAGAAGATTCATTTGATTGCGTTCTAGGTGGGTTGGATCACAAATCATTGTTAATTGCCATGTTAATTTCCTTTGATAAAAACAAATCATCAGATTAACTCCGTTTTGTAAATTTAATCTAATTTAAGTTAAAGAGAATAAAATAAATTTACCTTGTGAAATAGCATTTTGTTCTTTTTTAGAGCCAGTAGATGGCAATTGAGCGATAGAAGATTCATTAGATTGAGTTCCAGGTGCTTTGGATATCAAATCATTGTTAATTGCCATGTTAATTTCCTCTGTAACAAGACAATTCATTAGATTAACTTCATTTTATAACTTTGATCTCATTTTAGTTAAAAAGAACAAAATTAAAATACCTTGTGCAATAGCAGTTTGTGGTTTTTTAGAGCTAGTAGATGGCAAGCAAGCAAGAGAAGATTCATCAGATTGGGTTCTCGGTGGATTGGATTCTGGATCATTGTTAGTTTCCTCTGTAAGTAAAAATTAAATACATTTTTATATTTATAAATAAAAACCACCAATTTGGTACTATTTTTACCAACAATAAACAATCTTAAAAAATATTTTTCCTACTGAGTTTTATTTAGCTTTTGAAAATAGATGTCTTTATTTGCATTTAAACGGTATATATATACTCAGGGTCACCACTCACGTTCTGAGCAAATGCCCTCTAGGTATGTCTTTTGTAACCAGAGTATACAGAAAAAATGAGTAAGGATCCCGTAGTGCTTGTCCTATGTTTGTGTGACTATGAGCTTTAGTGTGAATGCAACAGAGATCTGCAGTTTCAGGTGCCTATCATGTTATAGAGAAAAAAAGAATATTTATAGAGTTTGAGTCCTTGTGATTAGTGAAATATGAGCTATACTTTTGTGAGCTATATTAGGATAACAATACTAATTTTAGTTGCTGGAATATGAAACAGCTCAACATAAAACAAATAATGCTATAATAAATAAAATAATATAATATTGATGAACTATCATCTTTAAATATCCCATAGATTACACTTTGAGAGATTTGAATTTTTTAAAATACAAAAATAAGAAATAAAATTTTAGGTGTTTTCCGAGTTTGCAAAGAAAAATTAAATTTTCATGTGTTGTGGGAACCCTGATGCTACTTGCCACAAATAAAAAATACACTACTCCCTTTTAACTTTTTCAATTTTTAATTCTTTATTTAGGGATTATAAGATTTTACATAAAAAATAGCTGTCATAAGTTTAACTAGCTACTGAAAGTATTTTGAATGCAAAGGAGCACACCTGCCAATATTGGAGAAATAAAATAACGGAGATCTTACTAACCGACCCAATTTTGAGTTTACGACTACTGATGTTCAACGCTGTAGCCATGTAATTTTGAACTCGATCCAGAAAACAAGGGAACTCCTAGATCAAGTATTGGGGGAAATTTGCTTTTGTGGGGGACTTTTTGATGGAACCAACCCGCATTTGAGTTACATGGATAGGAAAACCTCACATGGTTAGACTGACGACAAGGGGACCTAAACCTGTGATGCCTCTACCACTGAGGATATTTCACGGTAGCACTTGTTGGAAAATGCAAACAAATAGATGTGTAGTGTTTTCCTTCTTGCTGTGTCACTTCCTGTTGTGTCTCAGCTAGAAGGAAGTGGGTGTTTTCGTGTTTAGTTAGTAACGTTTTACTTTGTATAGAGTATGTTCTTCTCATGTTTAGTTTTGTTGAGTGCAGTTTCCTTTCTTTATATTTAAAGTTTTATTTCTTAAATAGTTGAACAGTTTTCTGTGAAGTGAATTCTTATTTATAATAGATGTCTGCCATATCTGAAACTTAATAAGCTGGCTCCTGTTTTCAACAGCACTGTGGTCGCTGCAAGCTGGATGCAGAATTCGTATTGACCAGTCATCGCTGGGATTCAAACCTGGTTTCACCTCATTGGAAGGCAAACATTCTATCCCCGGAGCCATCACGGCTCGACTTAACGACTTAAACTATTAACACTCAACATCAGTGCTGGCAATAGCACCATCTGTTGAGGAATAAGAGAAGTATTTTTGCCATTAGTGGATATTTTATCACCAAAAAAAAATTATTTTTTTTAAATGTCTTTTGAGAATATACAGGTAAACAGGATATAGTCGTAAAATACAGGAGTCTTCGTCAAAAAACAGGAGACTTGGCAGGTATGAAGGAGGACTCACTTTTCGAAAAATAGACATATGAGGCTTCAAGTGTTTTTCTAAAAGCAATTTTTTTCCAAGAAACATGTTTCTTTCAATTCTGTCATTCCTACCTAGCCAAGATGTTATTTCAAGTGCCTCTGCCATGTCAGTCTTGACCGTTCCCTTTCTTTTATACTAATAGGTGCCCACTTGATAGCATGATCTGCAGAGCAGGATAGGAGCTATTTTTCCTGGTATATCCCCATTCCCTCTCGATCTTAGTTTTAAGATTTCCTTTTCAATCAACAGAACATTAACAATTGTTACATAATATTGGGACAGAAAATTCTTAGTATTATTTTAAATTTTCTTTTAAAGGATTCTAGGTTTTTATGATTATTTCAAGAGGCTCAGTAATCAGTATCATCCATAATGGAATGCGTCGTGTACAGAATACAATATTCCTTGTACCACCAAACAGAAGAATGAAACTCCTCTAGCCTTGCATGCATTTATTTTTGTTTTTAATTTTATGCTTATATCTATGGTCCATACATATTTAGTTATGCATTTTTGGTCTCAAACAATTGGGTAATTGTACTGCAAGAAGAAGATCTCCTATATCCACACTTGACCTATGATGTCAAATCCATCTAATCTTTATCAGCAGAATGGCATATTAAAGTCGAGCTAAGTCTCCCTACATAAATTAGAATGTTAATTAACGATAAATACAGAGCTATATCGCACATTTAATTAGTTGAAATATAACTCTTTTTCGTCTACTTCTTTTATTCAATTAAATTTATTATTTGTTTTGCGTAACCTGACAACTTTGATGCATAGTTCGTTTGTTTATGTTCCACATGGCTTCATGCCTGTCTTTGTGTTAAGTCTCTGTATAAATATATAGTGAAAGAATCTTTATGAAAGAATTTAGAATGCGTCCCTTAAGAGAATTGATGCTTGGCTTACTTGAAACAGAATGGAAAGAACAGTTGCTAACGTAAACAAATGCCACATTCCAACAACTAATCAGGATTGAGATACCCACACTGCATCACTTGCAGGTATCTCATTGTCTATCATTTTTATCCCGCTGACGATATGATAATCTGCACATTTATCACTCTATCTTTTAGATACAATTAAGTACAAAAGGAGGGTCAATGCAAGGAAAAAAGTTGAGAAGAGAAGTAAATGACAAAGAAATCAAATAACAAAGGACACAAATGTTACTTAGGGTAATTTTTATTTTTATAATGATAGTTGAATTAAAAATTCTTTAAAAGTTACCTTGTGATGCAGCGATTCGAGATTTCTTAGCTCCAGTAGAAGGTGAACGTTCACGTCTACGTTTGCCAGGTTGAGATCTAGATCGACTGGATTTTTGATTGAGACCTTTGCTTTCCTTTTTTACCGAAAACCTTTGATCTATAACATGTAACATGACATTAGATTACATACTTCTAGAATATGATGTCTTCTTGACTTCATATTCTAGAAGTATGAAGTCACTTCTAGAATATGCAAGGAAAAAAGTTGAGAAGAGAAGTAAATGACAAAGAAATCAAATAACAAAGGACACAAATGTTACTTAGGGTAATTTTTATTTTTATAATGATAGTTGAATTAAAAATTCTTTAAAAGTTGCCTTGTGAGGCAGCAATTCGAGACTTCTTAGCACCAGTAGAAGGTGAACGAACAAGTCTACGTTTGCCAGGTTGAGATCTAGATCGACTGGATTTTTGATTGAGACCTTTGCTTTCCTTTTTTACCGAAAACCTTTGATCTATAACATGTAACATGACATTAGATTACATACTTCTAGAATATGATGGATGCATTGGAGAGTTTTGATTCTTCTGGCAATTTAAAAGTCACAAATCGTGTCGTGATTTTTATTCACGCAATATAAAAAGCGCACAATGCATTTCGTAATGACATTAACGAGATTTAAAACTAATGCAATTGCCACCTCTTATTTTTAGAAATGCTAAAGTAAAAAGAATTATTTTAATAATTTACAAAGTGGTAGATTGTTTGACAATAAAATTCAATATATAATTAATTTTTTACATTAAAATTAAGCATAACTGCAAACAAAAGTTAAAATTATGCATAACTGCAAACATATCACATTTTTTAATGATTTTTAAAAGGGTAAAAAATTTCTTGACAATCACAGATCCTGTGGTAAAATTACATTTTTTCAGAGTTTTTTTTTTGTTCGGGGAGTCTCATACGAATCCTGTATAATTTAATAGTTTCACATCACTTTTATTCATATTTAGGTACTCTTTTTTATATTTAGCAGTCTATTTTGAGCATTAAATAAATAAACAACAAATGTCAAGGAAATCATATTGTTTAATCAGGTGATCAAATTAAAATCATCCCTTATCAATCAAGTTATTTAAACTAATTTACAATAAATTCACAAAAACAAAATCATTTAACATAATTTAGTGCTTCGTAGTTAGACTAATTGATCAACATCAGTTGGGCTGTAATGTATTGTCACTTAAAATGAAAAATATCATTCAAAATTTATCAAAAAGTATTAAAAATAGGGAAAAAATGAGAACAAGAAAAACTCTTTCTGACTTTGTACTATAAATCTCATGAATGATGTCCTCATTGCTGCAGTGTTTTCACTACAGCGCGAGAATCTCACATAAAAAAATTATTAGTGCGAGAAATTCGCGCATTCTATAAATCAATTTCAAAATTCGCTAATTTCTTGCATTTTGGAAAAAGCTTTGAATTACGCCATTTAGAATAAAATCCGTTTCACTTTTCTTCCTGGATCTTTCATTATTTTCAACATCTGTCCCGTTATCGAGCTTCCCTATTTGCTAGTATTGTTCAGAACCAGGGTTGGCAAGGTTTAGGACAGAATGGATTAATCCACGGTTTAAACCCTGGATTAAACCGTCCTGTCCAAAACCCCTTTGTCCAAAACTGTCTTAAACTGTCCAAAACCCTTTTACTCAAATTATGTCACAATTTTATTTGAACAATATGTAAGAGGTAAAACAAACATAGAACTAATAACATATTGATAATTAAATCTACTACAGAATATTTGTTTTTAAAAGTATAATGTTTTATTAATATTGTTTGACTCTTCAATTTAAACATTAAACAAAGGAAGATAAATCAGTAATCAAGTTCAATTGGTCCTCTCATTCAATAGTACATAACTGAAGTTTGACCTTGCCATACAGGTTAAGCTATTAGGGACTAAGTGCTTGGTTAGTCATAAACAGGTTTATTTATCTATAGTAGGTACTATTCAAGAATACTGTTATTTCATTCATGTTCAATTCTTTTATCATAGTGGTGATTGGTGATACGTCATCAGTGTCAGTAACTGAAACTGTTATGCCCTTCAAAACTGTTATTACATTTTTCAGTTATTTTGTATTTTCAATTTAAACTAATATATTTAGATTTAAAAACAATTTTTTTAAAAAATAGATGTCTTTTTAATCATCCTGTGATGCAGAAATTATAAAATTTTTTTAAAAAAATCTTGTGAAAAATAAAAGGCTAATTTTTAAACAAATTTAGTATTTTTTTAAAAAAATTGCAGTATTTTAGTATTTTTTTAAAAAAGCGTCCTGTCCAAAACTAGTTTAGGACGTCTAAAACCCCAACCCTGTTCAGAACCTTTTCGAACAACAGAACACAACCACGGAACCCCTTTCAAAACACATTTCTATACAACCATGTGTTTACCGTAGGTAAGGTTTCTTCATGTAAGACGTTCAAATTTTGTATGCACTTATGTAAGATGGACAAATACCTTGCAAAGGCAAAATCTTCTATGATGATGCACCAAAAATATTCAATGCTTTAAAAAATAGAAGACGTTAAAAATGTATTATAATTATAATATATTTTGAAATCTCACCCTGTTTTTGAGAAAGGGTGAGAAATTCTCACCCATTTTTTTTCTTTGAGGAAAACACTGTTGCTGTCAAAACAAAAGAATAGTACATATAAATTTCTACCTAATCATCCTACCTTGAATGTGATTTTTTTTTATGAATACTCAATCTAATAACATGACTTATATAAAATCTCGTATGCCTTTCTAAAAGTAATCATTGCAAAAATGAATGTGAACAAAAGCCAAAGAAAATAAGATAAAGAACAAAAGACTACAATGAATAAAACTAGGTAAATTATTGACAATTTTTAGCAACTTAAAATTGTAAATAAGACTAGTAAATTGAAAATAAGCGTTAAAGAAAATATGAATAAAAAGTATTAAAATGTATTACTTACAAAATTTTTTCAATTTTTTCCATATTTTTTCAGCATCATTCAAATCTCCATCATGAATATACTCTTGCATTTTTATGTACTGTTTTATAATATTCTTAACATTTCTCTTGGCATAATGGCAAATATCTTTACCATACATATCTTCAGCATGAACATCTGCTCCAGATTTGATTAACTTTACAACTAGATTTTGATTGTTTTCTATTGCAGCAATGTGCAATAAAGTTAATCCCTTTTCATTCCGCACATTTTTAATCATTTTAAAGCCAACTTCACCCTTTATCTCATCCAACATATCAAAATTGCAGAACAAATCATGGATTAACTGGAGAAGTTGTTTTATATGTAGGCTAGAGGCGATGTCCATAGAGGTTTCACCCCAAAGGTTTTTACAGTTGTACATAGCACCATTTTCTAATAAAATTCTAACAACAGAAAAGTGTGAAAACTTAGTAGCATAATGCAAAACACAATGACTTCTTCTATCATAAGCATTAACTATTATAGGTAAAGGTATAGAACACTGCTGAATAGATTCAATATGGTTCAAAATTCTTTCAGGACTATCACTCAATACTATCTTAAACATTTCATTTATTAGATCAAGATACTTTTTTAATGATAAATCAGTCAGACCATTAGCATATTCCAAAGGGGTTTTGAGTTCTTTACTGAAAGCATTGAAAAAGGCACCTCTTTGCAGTAGTCTTCTAATCATACAAATGTTACTATGTTTAACAGCTAAATGAAGTGGTGTATAACCATCTAAATTTTGACAGTTCAAGTTAATATCTCTTCCTAACAAAAATACAAATAATTCCTGACGTTTGTGTTTAATTGTTTGATGCAAAAACGAGTCACCTTCAATGTTTTTTACATTTAAGCATTGCTGAAGAATTCCAACAAGATTCAATGATTTTCCATCCTTAACATCCTCAAAACAAGCTTCAGTTGAAGTTAATAAATGTTTATAATCTTTTGATAGATCAATTGGAGTTTTCCCAGCATTATTTTTGATATTGAAAATGGCTCCCTCACGTAAGAGGGTATTAATAATACGTTTATTATTATTCCTACATGCAATATGTAAAGGAGAATTCCCTTCTATATCCACAGAATCAACAGAAAAAGGCTGGTAATTTCGATACATTTCGCAACTTTCATCATTCATATGAATCCATTTAAGTTTCTTTTCCAAATATTTTTGATTAAAATCTAACAATTTTGTCACAGTATTGATATTATTTTTCTTTACTGCAATATGCAATAATGTTCTTTTTTCAAAATTTCTAGCATTTAAAAAGTAACAGGCAATATTTTCATGAGCTTCAAAATTGTGACATTCGTTTGAATTAAATAACTGTGACATTTCATCTAAAAGTTTTCCAATCTTCATTTGAGCAATTATTGAATCAGGACCAGCATTTGTTTTTAATTCTGCAGCTGGTTTATGTGTCTTAAAATCAGTTGCGTCAAACATGGCTCCATGCTGAAGGAGGAGTTTAACAATATCGAAATTTCTAACATAACATGCCCAATGTAAAGGTGTTTTACCATACTCATCCTGTTGATTAACATCATCTCCACGACGTATAAAAAATTCACTCCACTCAAAGTTTTTATTTTTTATTGCAGAAATTAAATTTGTAGAGTCACTAAGATTGAAATATATTTGAAACATATTCTCTTCTGATATAAACATATCATCATCATAAACATGCGCACCACAATCAAGCAAAAGATTTAATACCTGAGGATAATTTTTTTTTGAGCAAATTAAATTATCCTCAGAACTTAGATTCAGCAGAAAATTTATTAAATGGCAATTTTGCTTCTCAGATATAGCAAACTTTAAAATATTTCTGTCAGACCATTTTTTTGTTTCTGTATCACTTCTTACAGAATATATGTACTTTATCAGCTTTAAACATGCATTTGACTTTATGGCTAAACACAATGGAGACATTTTAGTATCATCAGATTTGAAACAATTCCTTTTTAATAAATACCATACAAATATAAAGTGGGAGTTCTTAAGGGCAGATATAAGGAATTTAATAGGGATACTATGATTCCGATGATTGGTGAAATACATAAAAGTCTTAAGACTTCCCTGTTCTACAATCTGTTCTAAAAATTCATCATTGTCTTCAATTGTTTTCTTTAAATAAGGATCACCGTTAATCATGAAGATTAGTATATCTAGCTTTTCATTATCATTCAAGTATATACTTTTACTGATAACTTCCAAAATTGTTTGTCTTCCATCAGTATACAAAAATATGTCTTTTCTATCGTTATAATCTAGGCATTCAGTTATATGTTTGAGCACAAGTGTACGTCCATGCCAAAGAAAAAAACAAAAAAACTGATACATTGAAACAATTCTCGATTCAGATGGTATTTCATAATAAAAATCACAAAAATGTTTAAAAAAAATTTCTAAAACTTTAACTAAATGATTTGTTTCTCTAAGTGGATTCTTATGAAAATTAAAAAATAATTTAAATTCTGAAATGAAAATTTTTTTAAATATGTAGCAAACAAATGAATAAACAAGTCTATTATCATCAAGGCTAGAACAATCAGCTCCATTAATTAATAAATCATAACCAATTTCAAATCTTTCATTTTCAACGGCATAGTACAAAGCTGTATGGCCATAAGAATCTTTCTCATTAATGTTAATACACTTGGAAGCATTTTTATTTTTTTGCGTATTGGAATAAAGATTAACCTGAGGGCCCAAAAAATACTTCACAACGTTTGCCTCACCAGATTTTGTAGCAAGATGCAAACCGGTTATGCCCGATTCCTTATTATTAAACATGGTATCTATTTCAATTTCCATGATAGCACGAATAATATTCATGAATCCATTTTTTACAGCAAAATCAAAAAATGTTGCTTCCTTAAGTATCTCAAAGAATTTATTCTCATGTTTCATTAAACATTTCCAAAAACTTTTTAGGAACAATAAAGAATTGTTTGGTAAAAGTCTGTTAACGAGTGCAATAATGTCATGAAACTCTTTACCAACAGATTGAATAAGTTGTTCAGCAATAAAAACAGAGGCTAAGTATTCCGCATAGGTTAAGTGAGTAAATTGCAATGTATTGTCAAAAGAATTACAATGCAAAAAACCAATTTTTAAAGTTCCATCAATAATTTCCTTCCTGAACTCTTCAAATAAATCTTCATTTATATGAAATAAATGAGTTGAAATCGTCAAACGTTTTAAAGCAGCAATTTGACAATTAAAATAGATATTTTCACAAATTTTTATAGGATTTGTATCAATTTTAGATAAATCATAATCTAATTTGCCTACAAGATAATATTCATAAAGAAGTTTTCTCAAAAAAGATTCATAAAGATCTAAGACATCAAAGTTTTCCTTTAGCTCTGGCTTATCCATTCTGCTGGTTATAAAATCTTTGACACTTTTAAACGTTCCTAAACATTTTTTTTCGTTTTTGTAAAATATGTCACCAACCATTATCAAATGCAATGGTTTACTAAGAAATTTATCTCTGTTTTCAATGGTTGTTTGTTTTGAAAAAATATTTATTATATCGTTACAATACAAATCCAACTTCTTGGACTCCTCATTTTCACTACATACAATATTTTCTTCTTTTAATTTAGAAACCCAAATTTTATTTAAAAGTTCAAATTGTTCTTTATTACTTGAAAATGGTATTAATGAAAAAGCAAATACTTGAAACTCTTTTTCAAGTTCATTTTTCTTATTCTGTCTAGTAGATATCCAAAGATTATTAACCTTATTTAATAAATATTTAATTAACTCGATTACTATAGCCTCATATGTTGGACAGATCTCATCAAATCCATCAAACATCACAACAGTTTTTATTAACCCAGAATGAAATAACATCTGATCCAAGGGTTCATTTAACTTAAGCATGTAATTGGCAAGCATCTCAATTGACATTTTGCTATCCTCCATGTATTCTCTCAATATTCGAGTATAGTCATTCAAATTCACTCTGAAAATCCAGTTTGGGGGAATATCATTTGCATTCAATTTGTAAATTTCCTGACATAAATAGGAAAGAACAGTAGATTTTCCCATTCCGGCTTCATCAGAAATAATTATCACTTTCAACTGACTTTGCAAACGCAACAGATCTGATTCTGAACACAATGTTGACACATTTTGATTTCTAACAATATACTCATACAAAGATAAAATAGAGCCACGAGTTTTTTGCCAAACAAGAGTTGTAGATTTCCTTTCCAGCCAATGGATATTTTCCTCTGGAAAAAGACTGCTAAAATTTTCAAACTCCTCTCTGGAAAAACATACTTTATCACCAAAAGATTTACTTCTTTGAATAGCTTGTTTTATTTCTACTTGACTGAAATTTCGTGAAATATAATAGCTATTGTTATATGATGGAAAATTTTCTCCAATATGAACATTTTCACCAATAATAAGTCTTTGTATAACTTTAGGTTCTAAATTTAGAAGAAAGTCTAATTTGCTATCACTTATAATCTCAACATTCTGAATATTGAGAAGTTTGCATAAACTTGTAACTTTGCCTTGAAATATTATATTTTCTTTTTGTAAGATATAAGTTTGAGAGTTTAAGTCATAATCCTTAAGAGTGAGTTGCATGTTGATGGGCTGATGCTTAATGCTCTCAAATTTAAAACTTTCCAGGTTTTCAATTTTTACTGATTTAAAGCTGTCTCCATATTTTTTTTCAAAGCAAGCGGCAGCCGCCTGTTTGTCCTTTTCCATGAGTGAAAATGCACGGTCCCAAGCTTCTGCAAAATCAGAACGATTCTCATCAAAGACCAAAAAAATAATTTTCTTTGTAGAAGAGAGAGTAATTTCAAAAAACTTCAACAATATTTCCCGCAATCGTTCCTTTTCAATTTTAATTTCTGTAAACAGTAGAGTAATTAAATTGACTTTTGCAGCAGCAAACGCTACAATGATATCATCTAAATGTTTGTTACACACATCAAAAGTAAAAAAATAATAATCATCAGGTGACTTTTCCTTGATTATATTTTTAAAAAATACATACAAAAAATTACATAATTGTGCACACGTGTATGCATCACTAATATGACAAAAGCTCCAATCATCAGATTTAAGAAAATTACGGAATGTGAATTCGATTGTATGATCAGCTACTAGCTGTATCTTTTCATCTTTTTCATAACCAGCATATTGATTTATTAATTTTAAATCTTTACTAGGCTTATGTACTTCCCAAAGATTAATAGCCCTTTGAATTTTTAAAAGGACTTCATGAAAAAATGAAAATAAGTGGCAAAAATTGAATTCAATCCACTTCTTTCCTTGATCTTCATAAACAGCAAATATTTCTACAATGCGAGCAATAAGTTCAACTTCATGTTCAGATTCTGGATACCCAAAAGCACCTCCAATAATATTTTTCATTCCCTGTTCTTCTTCAGTTTTTGTATTTACAAATTTCCAACTATTTTTGGTTTCTAGTGTCAATTGTTTAAATGTTTGCTCACTTGAAATATCTTGTTTTTCATAAGGCTTAGACTCATTTCGAAACACTTCAAACATAGCTAAATGGGCAAATTCATGAGATAAAGTACCTAATGCCAACTTTTCTCCCCTTCCTAAAGCAGCATAAACTTGTCCATGCCAAACATATGAATGTCCAAAGGTTTGTAAGCACCTGGGATCCATTTCACTAGCTTTTTCATTACGTAAATCAACGTTTATTACAATACGATCACAATGTTTTAAAGCCTTTAAAATATTTGAAACCTCTGGAATTTTATCAAGCAGTGAATAAAAATAACGAATTTTTTCATAAGCGGAAGAATCTGTTTTAAGCATTTTTGTTCTTGACAACAAAAACGATACATGAGCAGAACCTATAAAATGAAAAAGTCCTTCTAAAAACTCTGATGTTTTATTTGATACTTTTTTTGGCAATAGATCAAAAATTTGATATTCTTCCTTTTTCATATAAAAATGTAGGGTCATTAAATAGGAATAAACATCATATCTTTTATATTCAATGGCTGTTAATGCTGCAGAATTAGAAGAAGTGTTAAAGTAATATTTTGGTGCATAGCAATCACAATAACTAGTAAACCCATAATTAACTGCCAAACAGGAAAAAGATTCTTTATATAGAATTTTAACATCTGCAATAGCCTTCATGGTGTCTTTTAACTCTTTATGACGTATAATTTGATCATGAAAAGAGTTTACCCCACTAGCAATACCCATAATTTTGGATTGAAAAATGTTGTTGACATTATCATCCAAAATAAAATTTTCAGGGAAATAAGAATCTCCCAATAAAAGTACAAGTACAAGATCGTAATAATTATCTTTCCAAGCCTTATCAATAACTCTTTTACCATCATGTCTCATATTTATGATGTCACTGTAGTTTTCTTTATTTATGATATTAACGGCAATGCTTTTAATATCATTTCTTTCAGCAAAACTGAATAAAGTTTGTAATTCTACAACTTGATTATCAATTTGTTCACCTTCATCGATTTCCATTTGTTCAACACCATTAGTTTCCATTTTAATTTACTGCATCCAGTTTTTCATTTTATTACAAAACAGCACTAAAAAAGATTACTCAGGTTAATAAAATGTAACATAATTGCAAAGCAGTTTTTTAAATTAGAGTAAGTGTTGATAAGTAATGTTTAAAAGCATTGTTTCAGCAATGCCAACCATAAGAAACATTTTCTCCAGGACACTGGAAGAAACTGGTTGAAATGAAAGAAATGTTCTTTAAAAAGAAAAAAAATTTTAATCTTAAAAATCTTTCATGGTAAAAACCATCAAAAGTTAAGGACGACATTCATTAAATCCAGAGTTCTCCCAAGGAATAGAAAACGGTACCTTGAGTTTTTAAAACTCAAAGATTTCTTAACACTGTAGGGAGGATATCTGAACACTTTAAAAATTTATTAAAATTTGCAATAGTAATATATTATGTAATAAATTAATTTCATCCTCACTCAACAATTAATTAAATTTTAAAATTACACTCTTATACTATTTTAAATGGATATTTCAACAAGTATTTTTCGCTCATTATTCAATTTGCAGTTTATAAAAACATTAAAAGCATTGCTAATAGAAATTCTCTGTGCATATTTTTTTTCAATAAGAAAAAGTAAACTAGCAAAACTAATTAATTTATAAACAGCTTGAAAGCTTCTTTTCTGTAATTTACACTGAAAATTATGAGAAAATGAACATTTATAGATGGGTTCTTTTTAAGAAAAAGGTATTTATTTAAAAAATAATTTTAAAATCATCTAAAAAATTCATTAATATACCCCACCCTAAAAGAAAGAGAACCTTATAAAAATTTTATTGGTTGAGAATAATCTTAACAAAATAAATAGTTGTATGTAATTGTAATCAAAACTAAACCTACAAACGCAGATAATTTTACCAGTGTGTAATTATATTTTAAACAGTCAATCAATTTCTTTTCAGAATGGAATATGAATAAAAAGGCAGTTTAAAGGGATGGCAGCTAATTTTTACAAAAAGGGAGCATTTATTGGAATCAAAGGGCAAGCAGGGCAGGCCTTCCTGTAGTTATGATAATAATCCCATGACAGCCACAAAATCTACATCATTGTTTATTAATATCAAATTAATATTACACGGATTATTCAAATAGTATGGAAATGGTGAAATATCTCAAAAAATTGCACAGGATTAAAATTGGATCAGATGCTATTTTTGAGATATTTGATTGGGCATTCCCATCGCTCTTTGAACGACCTGTAATACAGAGTTTTAAATCTAAAAAATGGCATTAGATCAAAGAAATACAGGTATGAAATATTTTCAATAAATGCATTCAATATTAAATTTGTGTTCTTTTTCTTTTTAAATAAATGAAAAACATAAAACTTCAAATGCAAACTTACATGTTACAGTTCTTGAATCACATTTAATACTGGAGTTATAGTTATAAGCATTTTATATTCGTTGAAATAAAACTTATTACAGGTAAATATAAATTTTGAAGTTCACGCTGAAATTTAATTGTAAATATTCATCTGTTGCCAGATTTTCAAGTTGAAATGACAGAAATTGTTGAAATTACAACGCTATCTGGTATTGATTTAATGAACTACTCCATCCATAGCTGCCAGTTGTCAGGTCATAGGTTTGCAATATTTGGCAATTTATCGCTATTTACAACTGGCTGTGGAATTAAAATTTTCACATTCCATTCATTGCACTTACCGGTGCACTTAAAACATGGAACCGGTCTTCTTCCAAAATGATGCATTCAAACTTGCCCTCCTTCACCAATCGAAAAATGGGTGGACAAGCCTATTTTTGTTAAGCATTGATTGAAACAGAAACAAGTGGCTTAAGACTTCTTAATGTATTTCATTAAATGCATTATAATTATTTTGTTATTTACTTGTTAAAAATTGTAGTTTTCAAAAATCTTAGTGATTAGTTAATCATTCTGTTTACAATCTTATTTCATTTTCCTGAAAATGAATCTTTTATGCTTCTATTTTATACGAGCACTTTTGTGTTAGTTGATTGTGACTCTTTATTACATTCTTAGTGCATATGTATGAATTTAATAACGTAATAAATAAGATAATATAAATGTTTTAACGTCAGCATGTCTGTGAGAATTTGGTTTCCTTAACCAGAAATCTTATCCTCATACCACAATGAATAATCTCACTATCAACTTGCTTGATATTCCCCATTAAGAGTCCATAAATTTTATATAAAATATGACAACAACATCATGTGTTTAGAATAAATTATAAAAAAAAAGGGGGTCAAAGAATTTATTCCATTGGTTACTCAAAAACTAATTAAAATCTTAAGATAGTGTGTGCATTTTTTAGGTTGAATTTTAAAATATTATTAGGTCTACTAATATTTTACAATTCAATTAAGTCACTTAATATAATTTAAAGTTTAAACATTTTAATAATGAATTAATATGAGAGTTATCTGATTTTTGATTTGTCAGTGGCCATGATATAAACTGCTGCTTCTTTAAACATAATTATTGAATATTTATTGTACTTAACATTGTGTATATTGTATGTTTATTTAAATTCGTAATAATAATTTGTAATAATGGCAGATTTTTATATTACTATGAGTTTTTTTGAAAAACTTATTTGATATCTTTATTACATTCAGTAATTAGCTTTATTACGTAAGAATTTAACTCTTAAATCAGGGGCGGATCCAGGAATTTTTCCTGGGGGGGGGGTCATAGACTCAGACCCCCGAACAATAAATTTTTTTTATGAAAAAAAATTTTTTTGAAAAAAAAAATGGGGTTTTTTATGTTACTTCTCATTTATTTTTTTCATAATGAACAGTGCATAAATAATTCAAGCACTCAAAATATTTAAATAATAAATTTAATGTGTTTTTTAGAAACTTTGGCAAAGCTGTCAATGATTTTTTTCAACATCCAAATCAATTTCTCCATGAATGTTTCTTAATCTTCACCTTTATACAATCTTTGGTTAAACCTGCTGAAGCGCGCTTGGCACACTTCAACATTATTAATGTTTACAATGGTGTCTTGGGATATTCATCCACTTTTAGATGCACGTGGATAAATTTTGTAAAAAAAAAATTTCGGCACATGCGCTGTATAAAGCAACTACTTCAATTACTCTTATCTGGCGCAGTTTTTATTATTATTTTGTTTAATTTTAAAGCAATAATTTCGCTATTAGTTTAAAATTGATTTTGTTTAATTTTTTTTAAATATTTAAGCTATAGCAAAAGTGGCACTAGATCTTGTATATATTTCGGACATTTACCAAAGGTCTAGTCATACTAGGTCTGGTTAAGTGCCATTGCCCGGTATACATTTGCCCGGTATATCCTACACTGATGTTTTTTTAAGGTCAAGTGCCATTGCCCGGTATACCCTACACTGATGTTTTTTTAAGATTCAGTGCCACTGCCCGGTATACATTTGCCCGGTATAACCTACACTGATGTTTTTTTAAGGTCAAGTGCCACTGCCCGGTATACCATGCACTGATGTTTTTTTAAGGTCAAGTGCCCCTGCCCGGTATACATTTGCCCGGTATACCCTACACTGATGTTTTTTTTAAGGTCAAGCGCCGCTGCCCGATATACATTTGCCGGTATACCCTACACTGATGTTTTTTTAAGGTCAAGTGCCACTGCCCGGTATACATTTGCCCGGTATACCCTGCACTGATGTTTTTTTAAAATCAAATGCTATTGCCCGGTATATATTTGCCCGATACTCCAAACACTGATGTTTGTGCTAATCTATCCTCAGTAAGTATTGAAATATCGAATAAATGTAATTATATCCACGAATAAATTAATATCAAATCGGATGTAATAAATATTTCGGATTCACCAAAGCGACTAATTTGATTGTCAACATTCACTTATGAAAGTCAACAACCACCGATTTCGGTCATTCACAATAACATGCGCATCATTTACATATTAACCTCATCAGGACGATTATTTCATACTTTGCCAAAATAGCATCCGGCATTTCAAAAAATAAAAATAATTGATGTTGTTGGCGATGATCTCGTAAGGCGATAAAGAATCATGCATAGTACAGGTAAGGAAGATATTAACCTCGATGGAAAAGTGGATGAATAGCCCAAGGAACCGTTTACAATGAAGCTAAGACGAATTTCGTTTTAATCTTTTGGATTATGATTCTTGAAACAGTTAAGAACATAATTAGATGGGGGGGGTGAATCGAATTTTCCGACCTACCTAGGTGTATATGCCCCCTTAAATAATTTTTTAAATATTTTCTTTCTTTTGTAAACTATTAAAAAGAAATTTTTTTTTCAATTTGGGGNGGGGGGGGGGTCATAACTTCCCCCCCTCCGCTGGATCCGCTACTGTCTTAAATACACTTAAAAAAGTTAAGTGGTAGAAGTATATTTTATCATCCTTTTATTAAAACTAAAAATTAAATATATTCTTATTATACTTATTTTATTTCCTTTAGATTGATTGCTATTTGTCATCAGCGCATCACATCTTTTCAAGAGCGCCGGCAGAATAATATAAAAGGGGGTGCAACCCTCTAAGAAACTACCCCCCCCCCAAAAAAAAAAATTTAAAAATATACTGTTATTACATTTTGTTTTGTTATTGCATGTACTTTCTTTTGTTAATTTTATTCAAGATACGTTTCTTCATTGTTAACAAGATATTTAAAAAAAGTATGAATTTCTTGTACTTGCAAATCTTGTTACGAGGAACTGTATTGATGGCGCTGGCATAGCTACTGACTTTGTAACACAAATAACTACAAACAGTAGTTTCGTGTACTAACGTGTTTGTGCACGCTTAACATTGGTATTTATTGTGTTGAGGAAGTTTTATAGTTGTGAGAAGTCAGTTTGTGTTATACACATGTGTTAAACTAAATAACTAATAGAAAATATAATGTTATTTATATTTTATTAAATTAAATTTAAAAATATAGCTTAGATATCTGCCCAAGAAAAAAATCTTTTTTTTACAGTTTAGATAAAAAATTACTTACGAGTGTTCGACTTATGAATAGATTTTACAAATTGACTGCATTCTGATATTTTTTGTAAGAAAAAAGTAACTTTACATAAATATTTTTTTACAGATTTATGTATTCAATTTTTATTTAAGTCTTCAATCAGTATTTACAATAATGAATTATCAATGAATACATCGGTTTAGTTATTGAGGCCACACCGTTTTATCCATCTGTAGCAGGTGCAATCAAAATCGGCCTAACTCATCCAGCTACTATGTGCACTATTGAACGCACTTTAGACACATCAAAACATGAAATCGGTCTGCAATGTTTCACTAGAGATTAAGTAGTTTGTGCATGCTCAGTGTGCGTAAGAAAAGAATAAAAGATGACTCAGAATTCATTGAAAAAGTTTTAAACAGATTTGGACAGCAAACAAGACGATTACAATTCTTGTTTGATTAAACAATTTTTTAATTGTTATGTATCAATAATTACTTAATTATTTGTTTTTGAATAAAAATATTTTTAATAAGAAATTTTATAACAAAAATTTTCTTTCTGTATCTCTTTAACTGTTTAAAAAAAAAGGCCAGGGAGGTGCAAGTGCAACCCCCTCCCCCCGCCGGTGCCCTTGCATCTTTTTACGTAACATATTTACTTTATATGTTAAATAATGAACAGTAAATGATGTAGCAATAAAATAGTGAGAATATTTCTGTATCATGATCTGTTTCACGTACTATGACCCAACCACCAAATGAATTTTAAACTTGCAAATTTATTTAAAAAAAAGATTAGCCAGAGGGTGGCAACTACTTATACCCTTTCAGATGGTCCCTTTATGTGATGCTCTTTCATATTAGTTTCTCACGGGTCACTCCTCAGAAGTTGCCAAAACTTGGTGATTATTCTGCCGCGGATCACAATACAGAAATTTTCCCTGTTTGTACATCAAAGGAGTCTGTAAATTGTGTATATAACTGTCTATTATTAAAATTGAATCACAATCACATAGCGGTTCAGTCCCTTAACTCTCTTTTTTTAATCAAAACATTGAAAGGTCTATAGTTTCATCAAAATTTTTAGAATTATATATAGCTTTTATAATTTGGTTTATTTTCTGCTGATTTTAAGTCAATTTAAACTAATTTACATCTTAACTTCAATTTTTATAATCTAATGGCTAATATACAATATAATCTTATTACTAATGGTTTAAAGAGGTTGCATAATCCAACTAATTTTTTGTACCTGTATTTTTTCAGATAATTTCAAGACCCTATTCCTTATAGAAATTGAACTAAAAGTCTGTTAGTTTTGCCATTCTTAGTTTTGTATTAATCTTTTTATTTTCAACCTAGATCTTTCAGTTGTATTGATGATACATTTAAAATGGAATTCTGGTTTTCATAGTAGTATTATAAATACGAAAATACATGAAACTTACTCTTTTTTTTTATGTTTCAATTATAAATAATCGAAATAGACTATATTCTTTAATTTAAAATACATTTCTTAGATTACTTAATTCGACACCCGCTGGCTGAGAGGTAGCTCTCCCGTGCCACAGATCCTGGGTGCGATCCTCGGGCCGGGCAAGGTTGACTCAGCCTTTCATCCCTTCTGTGGGTCGATAAATGAGTACCAAGCATGCTTGGGAACTAAACACTGAGGGTTCTGCTGAGCACCTGACCAGAACATCTGCTCCTGCACCCCAGAGCCCAAGGTCAAGAAAACTGAGATGGGCACAGTGGCCCTTGTCTCTGTATGGGCTGTCGTGCCACTGAGTTTAGTTTAGATTACTTAATTCAGGATTCTGTTGCTGTTTCTCATCCCCACTGGTCTAGTGGAGCTAGACTAGGTCCATGAATCCATTCACCCTCAGGAAATCAAAAAACAAGATTTCAACCGACAGAAGTTGTCCCCTAACCCTTTATTCCATGAGTTTATTCTGTTTTCTTGAGTATATTATTTGTTTTTATATCCTGTCTTTTCTTTTTTTTTTCTATTTATCTTTAAGGGGGAAAGCATTATTCATGTAAAATAACACTGGTATAACATTATGTTGATAGCATTAGTATTGATTTCTAAAAACAACCATGTTCTGATTCCAACTCAATATGAGATCAGCAGTAAAAGGATTATAATTAAACAATTATATTTTGTTTGTATTTAATTTATCTTCTTATGATTATACATGTTCAATAATATTTTCAAATAATATTAGAAATTTTCTTATTATAGGATTGCTCTTGTTAGAAACCTTGCAAAATGGAATGCACAAGTTTAAATACCAAGCGAGGTAAACTGTTACATGTTATTCAAATAATTTATATTGTAAAGAAATTTCGCTTCTCTAATTGTTTTTGGAGAAAGTGAGTTAAAGAAAAAAGAATATTTTTATTATGATAATGAATTAAATTAGATTGATTTTTATTAATTGCGTTAGAAATTTTAATTATTATATGGGATGCCTGCCAATTTTACTTTAATTTTTTTGTTTGTGAATGGTTAAATTATATTACTCTAATACAGAACTAACTATTGAATTAAGCATTGTTAATGCCTTTGAGAATCTGATTCCTTAAAAAGGAAAATTATAGTCTTTGATTGTAAAAGATTTTTAAGAGCTGTACTTTAATAGCATCTAAAACAGTGGCACATATTAGTATAGAGGCCTTAAGCTCATGTTGATTATGCAAAACAAAGGAGTATATTTTACAAAATTGATATCAGGGTATTAATTTTTAAAGCTTAAGTTACTGAAATTTTCAGCTTTGAACACACACTCAGAATTTAAAAAAGCAAAATTGAGTTGTTGTTTTTTTAACCCAAGGTTTTAATATTTTATATAATCACTTATTATATATTTTTAAAATCCTTAACAAAAAAAAAATAAAAACAGAGAAATTAATATTTAAGGGGAAAATATACAAAACTACTTACAAAATCTATTAATAAACTCATGTAATAACCATCAAAATAAGTTTAAATGGAGGTTGAATCTTGTAGGTGTTTTCTAAAAATGTCCTCTTGCTTTGATTATTTTTGAATGCTAACTTCGGTGGAGTCACTGCTATGATAAATCAGTTTTTTTTTTGTAATTGTTCATCACTTTAATTATAAATTAGTACCAGTATTGTATAGTTATTTTTTTAATTCTCTATGGAGCTCCTAGATAAAACTGCACAAATAGAAAACTTCTCCATATTAATGTATTTAGTAGTGTAGGGAGAAGTTAGTTTCGCATGCATGTGTCCCAATTCAAATTGAGTTTGATATTGTAAGTTACAACCTTTATTAAAATGTTGAAAAAAATTTTAATAATTAAATTTTTACAAATCAAATTTTATTTAAGCACTCAGCAAAACACAAACTTTTTTCTTTTACTATATTAATTATTTTGAATAATCTATTTTAATTATTTTAAGTTATTTAAATGATCTTAAAACGCATAATATATAAAATAAAAAAAATTTAAAATTTTTTTTCCAAAATAATGTATTCTGACATAGTCTGTGCTAATCTCAAATATTTTTAAACATATTTTAATAAATACACTAATACATTAAAAGGAGCAATTTCTTTGTGATGGTAAAAACAGCATGGAAAGTTTGAATAAAACGAAAACAATGTATATACTGTTTTAGCAAAAAAAATCTTTATAAAATGTTATATTGATCTTGTTGAGCAGCAACACTGTTGTATAATTTAAGTTGAATCATACTTAAAAGTTTAAGTAATTTAATGTATAAATATTGTAATGTGGGAAGCTTATTTAATTCAATATAATTAAAAAGTGTCTTCATTAGTACCTTCATAAGTTTTAATTTTTTTTTTAACAATATTACTTGGAGCATAAGATATCTTTGCATATGTAGAACTGACACACACACACAAAAATTTAGATTTTTAGTAGCGTAACATAAAAAGTTTTTAAGATTCACTGTCCCTTTAAATTGAACATATTGTATATAAATATTTTTTTTGATGATACTTAGAAAAAAAATTTTTTTAATTACATGGTACCAAAACTTTTATTTGTGTGATAATTAGGTATACTATTCTATATTCTTCAATTTATGCTACAGTTTTGTGGAAAGGTAGGCAGAGTTTTCAAAATTTCGCCTATTATAAACAATTTGCAATAAACTTAAACTTCTGTGCATATAAATAACCGAACTTGTGAAGTTCTGTGTTTGTAACTATTATAAACTGCATGAGAAATGATCAAATGAGCAATCGCATAATATACTAAAGAAATATAGTTCAGTACCCTGGCTAAAAGTTTTTGAAATTCGCTCCAAGATGCTCTGATGATTATGTTAGAAAGCAAACAAAAAAAAGTTTATCTGTTTTCAATCTTAAAAGAAGAAAGAAGATCCATCCTTCTCTTTTTGTTATAAATCAACAATTTTGTGTTGAAATACAATGTTTTGAAAAGCTTTTAATTTTAATACGAAATATTTTCCATCACTGGTCCCACAATATTTTTTACTGTAACTTTTTCATCAGGATAAAAATTCATATGAAATATACATTTAGAGATTGGGAATTTAATTAATACATTTTAAGCGAGCTGTGCCTGATAGCTCAGGGGGTAGAGCATTTGCCTTCCAATCAGTGAGCTGGGTTCAAATCCCAGCAATGGCTGGTCGATACGAATTCGGCATTCGACTTGCAGAATCGACAGTGCTGGCATAAAATATCCTCAGTGGTAGGAATATGTCCTTCTGCCATCAGGCTAAATGTGGGAGGTTTTCATGGTTTTCCTCACCATGTAATGCAAATTTGGGTTAGTTCCATTAAAAAGTCTTCCACAGAGGCAAAATTCTCCCAATACTTGATCCAGGAGTTCCCTTATCTTCTGGATTGGGTTCAAAATTACAAGTCTACGGTGTTGAAGGTTAGTAGTCGTGAATCCAAAAGATTGGGTCGGCTGTTTAACAATGGTTATAAAATAAAATAAATTATATTTTAAGCAGGACAATTAAACCATATTCAATAAAGAATATTCCCTAAGTTTCAATAGATCGTAAATTCTATTTTATTAGGCTTTGTTTTTCTTATAGAACTATTTAAAATATTGATAAAATAATTATTATTAGATAAAGAACAATGATTTCACGTGAAAACTGTAAGCTGGATCGTTGGAGAGTCGACTGGCAAATTATTTTTTACCTTTCACAAGTTAAAAGAATTTGGTGCCAGCTCCCAAAACTCTGTGTTGCAAACCTGATCTAATTGTCCCCCAGTGTTGGTTTTCTTCTACAATCTATGCCAACCTTTCCTGTTATTCAGATTTATGTGCATTAAACCCTTTATTTTATTTTCTGAAGCTATGAGTGGACATAGATCATAAGATAGATCTATGGCTACGTAGACCAGAGGTGGGAAGTAAACTTCCCACAGCTTTATAAAGTGTTTATATCATACCTGCTTGAGAAACAATGACTTAAATTTGTATTGCTGTAAACTTTTCATATTAAATTGTTATTTATTCAACTTGTCTTTATGTTTTCTAGAATTTCCAGTTATAAAGACAATATACCTAACGAAAATTGGAAATTTAAATTATAAAGATGATACTAACTCGAATCAGCCTGTCCATGAAGTCCCTACATCATCATCTGTGAGCTTTGATCCTTCATGCGTACAAAAAAGAAAAAAATCAAGATACCCCTGTGAAGTGTGTCAAAAATATTTCCCTTCTAAAGGTCATCTTCAGATACATATGAGGACACATACTGGTGAAAAACCATATATTTGTTACTTGTGTGGAAAAGATAGTGCTCGATTACATGACCTGAAAACGCACATCTTAACCCATTCAGAAAAAAAACTCTATGGTTGTACTTTTTGCCCATCACAATTTAATCAAAAAAGTAATTACACTCGCCATTTAAGACTGCATATACGATCGGATGGAATGAAATCTAAAAAGAAATTGAAAAAACATATTTGCGAGGTTTGCCAAGAAACCTTACCTTCAAAAACAGCATTATATAGCCATCAGTTTGCTCACTTTGGAAAGAAGCCTTTCACGTGTGATGAATGTAATAAAGGATTCACTAGACAATATGATTTGAAAGTTCACCTTCGAATACATACTGGTGAAAAACCTTATACCTGTAAAATTTGTCATGTCGATTTTCGCCAACAATGTAACTATCGTAGGCACTTAAGAATACATGAGGGAAAGTAAATCTTTTCATTGTTTTGTAATCTTTTTCTTTTTTTTTACTTGGATTGAAAATGCTCAAATTTTGATGCTAATTGCATGACTTTCTTTGTTAGAAATAGTTATCTATAGTGTTTCTTATGTTTTAACTTCATATTATGTGCGTCAAATCAAAATAATGCTCTTAATACATGAAAGAAAATAAATGTTTTTGTTATTTCGTACTTCTCTTTTACATGATCTATTTTACTTTGACTTAGAAACTGAAAATAGGGAAAATGCTTAAATTTAATTAAGTTTATAATGAATGATGTTCTATTGTTACCAATCAATTTAGAGATATACATTGTTCTTAATGTGTCTTAATTCAGTATTTCATATGTCAAATCAAAATAAGACTCTTAATACGTGGGAGAAAATAAATATCTTTTATTTCATAATCCTTTCTACTTGGTTTATTTCATTTTTACTTAGAAAACCGAAGTAGTAAAAATGTTCCAATTTAATTATGCCTGTAATGAAAGATTTGTTTCCTGTTACCAATACAGTATACAGTATTTTAAATGTGTCTTAATTCTGCAAATTTCATGTCAAATCAAATCAGTGAATTTAAGAATACTTGAAGGAAAATAAATTTTGTAATCCTTCCTACATGGTTTATTTTATTTTACTATGAAACTGAAACTGGTAAAAACACTCAAATTTTTTATTAGAGTTATATTGCATGATTTTCTATTATGAGGAATTATTTAAAAAATATGTAATTTTTTTAATGCGTCTTATTTTTTATGCCAAATCTGTGTTCATGTTCATATTTCTCTTAATAGAGTTTTTCATGTTAAATGTAATACCAAATCTGACTACTTATTTTAAAAATCTTGAGTATTTACTTTACACAAATATTGATATGTACAAAACTGTGTCATACTTTTTGAATCTGTTAACTTATTTAGAATCAAGCTCATTTGTACAATGAATTAAAAATAAATTTTAATAAGTTAAAGAGTTAGGTCTTATTTTTTTCATTTTAATGAACTTTGTATAATTGAAATTTTTTGTGCTCCTATTTCATATTAATCATCACATATTTGTACCTAAATCTGTGACTTGAATTCCTGAATATTTATTGTCCAATAACTTTCACGCTAATTCTGTAGGTCATGTGCAGAATGGATTTAAAGTATCACATCTGAGAACCAATAGAGCCAAATTTAAATAATTACAATTGTTTAGTTAAATGCAATACCAGGATTCTGATAGAATTCAAAGTTTTTAAAGAAATGAAATAATGTTCTGACTAAGAATCAATACAATGACAGCACAAATATTCTCATTTATGTCTTCTTTTTTTCCCCCTGTTTTATCTGCATTTAGCATTTAACTACATTCCAAATAATTGGATTATTAAAACTTTCATCAAATAATTGGTGAATTCTTAAAACTGAATTATGAAATTATGAGAAAGGATTGTGTCTATATATAACCCCTGTCGCAGAAACTATGCCACACCACAGTTAAGTGTTGACTACTTTTTGCTGCTTTTTATATAGATATTAAAAATAACAAAAATACTAGAGAGGAAAGTAATGTTCTTTTTTTTCTTCTTTAGGTTGCATAATTATAATGGTTACAACAAAACACCAAAAACTATTTGCTTCCATTTCTAGTTTGTGATCTCTGAAAAGTTTTTGTTTTAAAGCTAGACTAATTAATGTTCACAAAATAGTTTGGTTTTGAACTAATGGACGTTGACAAAATTCAGACAATGATGCCTTAAATTCTGCAAATTATTTATTGTAATGAAATGCAGTATTCTCATTTTCTCTTTATATATTATGAACACATAATTAATAGTTGAGTGATATAATTAAGTTTCTATAAAAAAGAAATTTAATTATAGCATCTCATAATTTCTTTCCTTTTAAACTTTATTGATTGTAACATTATTCATTATTTTTGCAGGTATCTGATCAAGTGGTCTCTACTTACATCAAGTTGCTTTGTGTCTTAGCCAAAATTATGCAATTTAAATATATATATTAATCTGCTCGTAATATATCCTTAAATGAATTTATCTGTTTAAAAAATGTTTTTGTGTGTGTTAGTCAAATGAATATAGAATGATATAAATGATATAGAAAATGATGTTCAGATATAATATCTTAAATTCAATTTCTTACAATTAGGAGTAATTTGAAAAGTTGACACATTTTTTAAATTTTTTTCTGCAATTAAACCTCAAGGAAAGAACACTTCTATTTATGACCACTTTTGGGAGGCGCGGAATTTTTTTCTTAAGATTTTGTGTTGAAGAAAACCTTTAGGAGAGACTACTAAAACTTCTCCCAGTGACCAAGCAAACATCTGCACTAAATGCAAAAAAGGTCAAATAAAAAAAACATCTGAACAAAAAATTTTACAAAACAAATAAGTAGATTAAAATTTATTCAAAAATATTTGTGTGAGGCTCTTATTTAGATAGCTCTTTTTGGCGATACAACCTCATGTTACAACTGTTGTGTTGCAGTCAGAGTGCACTAGAGGTGATGCTATCAATGATTTATTTTTAGAGTTGAAAGTTAAATTAGAAAAAATAGTTCTTTTAGAAAAAAAAAACATCTTCTCACCTTTTAATTTTTACTAATTTTTAAGATATTAAATAAAATGCAAACTTAAACAAAAAACATAATTGCTTACTTATTTAAAATAACTTTGTTATTCATAATTGTTTTTACACATAAATTCATAATTGTTTTTACACATAATTATATCAGTTGGAATAATTTTTTAAGACGCTAAATTTTATTCATAGATCCGACTTTTCATGACATCTACAGAAGTGGCAGTTCCGCACCAAGAAAATCTTACTGACTAAAATTAAAATCGTTTGCAAAAAATCATGTACCTTTGATAACAATTTTGAAGTCAATGTAGGTGACCTCTTAGAACGGCCAACCTCCATCAACGACCATTTTACTGTGGAACGAAAAGGGGTCACTCCCGAAAAGTTTCACTGTATAACAGTTATGAAATCTTTATCAAGTTTCTTTTTACGCCAATCTGGCGCATAAGGCTTTAAGTCTCTTCCACCATCACTTGCTGTCCATAGCACCTCCATAGCCAAGCTTGAGCAAGACCATCCAAGCACATCTCTTTCTCCCAATATCACTCATCGCCATATTAGTTTCGGTCTTCCACTCTTCCTTCTGGTGAAAGTAATGAAATAGATACGGAAAAATAAATTTACATTTTTAACAGACCAACTTCTTAGGGAATTTTCATATTACCTTATTTGAATTAAAATATTGTTTATAATTAGTATAACTGATATATACTCTTTTAAAGATTATTTCTTTTATTTATAGCATTGCTTCATTATTTTTTTCTTTTTCAGTTATTACACTTCAAACTGGATGCTCAGAACTGGCAACTATTGAGGCAAAAAGTGACGAATTGTTAATAGGAGTTGAAATAAAATCTGTCAGTGATGATCTTTCTGAACTTATGTCCGATGACGACATTGATGAGAAAAGTAATTTCAGTTCTTCATTACGGATGTCAACAAGACCTAGGAAATTTAGATGTAATGTTTGTTCAAGAAAGTTTGAAGCTAGATGTCATTTGATTACTCATATGCGAACTCATACCGGAGAGAAACCATACGTTTGCTATGTATGCGGCAAGAGAAGTGCCCGATTATATGATCTAAAAACTCACATAATTACGCATTCTGGAAAAAAACGATACCCATGTAATGAATGTCCTAGTTCCTTTAACCATAAAAATGATTTTGTTAGGCATTATAAGTTGAATCATCAAACGGCAGAATCAGAAGGCAGTGCCGAATCCAAAATTCGAACATGTGACATTTGCCAAGAAACTTTTCCTGACAAAAAGTCTTTGACTATTCATAAAATTGTGCACGAGGCACAGAAATCCTTCCCTTGTGATGTTTGTGGTAAGGAATTTATGAGACATTATGATTTAAAGGTGCACATGCGCATACACACGGGTGAAAAACCGTATGTTTGCACTATGTGCGGAGCTAGTTTTAGACAGCATAGCAATTACAGTCGACATCTTAGACTGCGTCATGGACAGGAAGAATGAAATATGCATAAAAAAGTTAAGTAACACATTAGCTAATGTTAAGTTAAAAACTGTGTTTTAATATTCTATGTAGGATTAGTTTTCGATAGCGAGCAATTATTGTCGACTACTTAGACTGGGTCATAGACAGGAATAGAATAGAATATGCTTAAAAAAAAGTTTATTTTTTAATTTTAAAAGTTGACCAGTTAACTTTATACGCTTTTTAATATTTTAAAATATATCTGTTAGTATAAAAGTAAATTTGTTTTTTACAATACATGTTTATTCATAAATCTCCCTGGAGTTACAAGTTATAGTGAAAAAATAAAGACAAATGTGGTAAAAATGGACAATTATGCCCTTACAGGTGTTTCTTGGTCACACTGCGTACATTGTGATACTTCCTTACAGTCTATTTAACTATCAACGGTATTGACAGCACTTATGATCTTTTCGCCTACAGTTCTTCTAAATAATAATTAAGTTGATAAGAAAACATAATCTTTTACATAGCCCCACAAAAAATAATAACAAATACTTGTGAAAATATTACATATGCTTTGACATATGTAATATTTTCTTTGTGTACATGTCATAATCAGGGAGTAACTGAACTACTGTATTAATGTATGTCCAAAGGTTCCCTCGTAGAATACCTGAAAGAGCTGTAAATAAAACTTAAATTGTCATTTATTATTTAGGGCTACTGAAACAATTCAGAGCAATTGATTGATTATTTAGTAAAACTTGATCATTTAGTGCAAGATTTGTATTTGTCTCGATTTTTTTTATTTTAGTCTCAAAAATCCATTGGAACTTACAAATAGACCTTGTTCCTAAATTAGTTGCATGTTTTTTCTTTATTAGCCATAGCTTTTTACTTTTAAAAATACTGAAGAGACTATCAGGAAACCCTGCATTATAATTGGAAGTTTTCTGCCTCCAAAATTTTATCAGGGGCATAAAGTATGAGATTTTCTGTGGTTTTTTTTTTTAGATTTTTTTTTTCTATTCTTGTTACCAATATTCTTGAAAAGTAATATCGACTAATATAATGTAAAGCAATTTATATTTGAATCAATCTAAATAATTATATTAGCAATTGTATTTTTATATATGTGCATATCTGTTTTTCTAAGATTGAATTCATTATCTCTGGGCATCAGAAGACATGCGTTGTAAAATGACATGATTTATATTTTGTGAACTTGTGTTTAATGCCTGGAATAAATAAATCGTAACAATTATATTAGATTTATTCAACATTTACTATATATTTTTGCAGACATTTCGCTCCCTATTTTTGTTATGTATGATTAATAATTCGTGAATTGAAGGATGAATTTCTTTTAATATGATCTAATTTTAGATTCTTCATCAAATTGAATGCGAATATAGTGCTCTACAGTACTGGAGTCGAACAAAATAATGGAAACAATTCTATGCTAACTCATTTTTTAGTGAGAAAAGAGAATCATCTAATCATAAATTTAGAAGCGTTTATTATCTGCAATATTTTATACTTATCAATGAGTTTTAAAGCTTTCTGAGGTTTGAGGAACCGACAATAACTTACATCGAAAATGTATTTTAACACCTTATGCCAAAAAAATTTAACTCTAAATTTGTAACAATTAGTTTGGTCTTGATATGTAATGATCATACAAAATTTCGAAAATTAAGCTTAAATATTTAAGTATGGGTATTTTTATAATAAACCAATCTTATGCTTTTTGCTATAACTTTAAAAATATTGAATAAAATTAAACAAAATTTTTGGTGAAATTTAAAATTAATTTCAAAATTATTGCTTTAAAACTTTAGAAAAATTTGTTATAAACTGTGCACAATATGAGTAATTTAATTAGTTCATTTATACTATGCATGCGCGAGAAATTTTTTTATTTGTTTTCTCTTAATTTCATAGTAAATCGTATTTGGCAACTAATAAGAAAAGTCCGATTTGAATATCTTAGAATGTTTCAAACCATTTTCTAAGCAGTTCTCGTACTTTTTTAAAAAAAAGCTAAAATGATAAGGGGTTTACCACAAATTTTATTTGTATTATTAAATAAGATTTATTAAAAATGACACCAGTATTATTGGAGATACTCCCCTATCTTTCCTTTTGCATATTTTCTTTACTTGTTGAATTATATTTTGAAGTATGAATGAACGTTTATTGTAAGGTAATCATCTTTTGTTATTTAATTTTGTCTTGTGATAGAAATAATATTTGTAGAATACTCCATATCATTTTAAGTTTCTTTTAAAAAGTCGAAAACTTCATAGAAAACTGCTTGCAACTTTTTAATTTTTAAGATATTCAAATCGAATTTTTTCATTAGTTGCCAAATACGATTCATTACAAAAGTTTTCTCGCTCATACGCAGTATAGAAAACACTGGCATCTACAGTTTCTTCTCCTTATCCCAATGCTCAGACATCACAATATGACTAAATACACAAGTGGGCGACCTTTGTGCTCTTAAACGTTGTTTACCTTAGTTTATATCATAATATGACGTTAACGATTTTACGTTGCACGCTTTCGTCAACAATATAATGCACATGTTGAACTCTGAGAGATAACAGAAAAGATATGTTAGTAGAAAAATAAACAAATCCGTTATCAATATTGTGTTTCTATTTTTAAATAGTTTATATTTTTGGTTTTTATTGTTAGATTTATTTTCAATTTCTTTGTTTGAAGTTGCTTATTATTTTCTTTATTGTTTCAAGTTCCTGGCGTTCATAGTTAGTGATGTTTAATTTCCAATATGGACAATTCAACCATTAACACTTTTAAATGTTATGCCTCTGAAAATATATTTTTTTCATATCAATCTTTTCGAAAACACACCATTAAAAAACATCCTAATATTGATCAACAAACACCAAATCAAAAACTTATTTTCATACTTGTAATGCGTTTGGAGTGAATTACTATGCGGGAGGAAATGTTAATCATTGGCTTTATTGTGGAACTGGCAAACGTCATATTTGATTCATTTAAAAAACGCAGTACCCTCAGAAAAATTGACATTCCAGATAACCTTTGTCATTTAAATTATTTCATAAAAGAAATACTAGGTTACTAATAGTAACCTAGAATTTCTCTTATTACTGTATAATGTAATCCAAGTAACTACTAATTCATTGTGCAATTTATATAAATGTCTGTAATAAATAAGAGAAAATAATATTTTTATTTATTTAGAAGCTACGGGTTAGTTTCAAAGAAGGACGGGTACACTGTTGATCAAGCCGTCCCCGGGGACAGGTAAAATTTTTTGAGTTTTTTCGAGCCCTGGTCCAGAGTATACCAGGCAGTGGCACTTAACTTTTAAAAAAACTTCAGTATAGGGTATACCGGGCAACTGTGTTCTGGGCAGTGTCACTTAACATTAAAAAAAAAAAAAAAAAAAAAAAAAAAAAAAAAAAAAAAAAAAAAAAAAA